GTTGCTGGGTTAATTCTGGTTGCTTATGTTCTAACTCTGGATCTTTCCTTAATGTTGTGAACTGACTGGAGCAACCGTGGAGTCCTGGAGAGCAAAGCTGCCTAGCTTCCCACTTCCATATTGGTTATACTTCTTTTCATGAGGACTTAAAATATTACCCAACTTAAGTATACATCCAAGCTTTTCTCTTACCTGCCATAATTTTGTTCTGTAGACATCACAAACTTTGGATCTCATAGATTGCTGACTAAAAGCTATAATTAGAAAATCAGAATCTAGAACTAATTTTCTTTCTTGGAATAATAATCTTTACATATCTGAAGACCAGACTTCTTGTATTTTATTGACTCTGTGTGTACTTTTGATGGGAATGTCCACTTAGAATGCCACTAATAATTATTCAGTGTTTTTTTCATAAAATATTTATACCCATAATTACTTGCAGACTACAGTCTTAGCAGAAAACACAATATTACTTCAATTGTTTGCTTTTTAAATATACCTTTGAAAAGTATGTTTTGGATAGGAATCTTCCTAAAATATTAGATTATGCATACTTCTGTACCTTCTTTATACTTCCTCTCCCCAGTGTTGGGTCTCAAACCCAATGACTTGCACGTGCTAGTCAAGAACTCTACTGCTGACCTATATCCAAGCCCTTGGTATTTTTGAGATAGGGTCTTGCTATATAGCTCAAGCTGGTTTCAGATGAGATCAGACATGTTCGGAATGGTATGGCAGTAGACGTAGGCTGACTTCAAACTCATGATCTTCCTGCCTCAGCCTCCCAGGTGCTAGCGGTACAGGTATGGGCCAATATGCCTAGCTCCTGTTTATTCTTAAGGTACCAGCCATCCTTACAGAAGCAGTATGGTTTATGCAGTTTTGTGTTACTATACTCTGTTTTCCTGTGAGAGCCGTAGTCCCATATCTGATTTGTGGTTTCTATATTCTTGAGGGTTAAGATAACCTGATATCATCACTTACTAGACATACATCTTTACGAAAGTAAAAAGGCTCTGGTACTTCCAAGAGTTGGTGCTGTGATTGGAATTTGAGTGAACAGGCTGAAGGGAGTTGTATTTAGTCAGTGTTATTTGGATCTGTTGGCTAGTATTTAGCCACTTGGTGATTTAAAACCTGATAAACCAAGAGAAACAGAACTTGCTTGTTATTGATTATTGGGGGGAACGATGATGGGTTGTTCTTTTTTTGTCGGTCGTGGGGCTTAAACTCTAGGCTTGGGCGCTGTCCCTCAGCTCTTCAGCTCAAAGCAAGCGCTCTACCACTTAAGCCACAGCACTACTTCCAGTTTTCTGGTGGTTTATTGGAGATAAGAGTCTCACGGACTTTCCTTCCCAGGAAGGCTTTGAACCGTGATCCTCAGATCTCAGCCTCCTGAGTAGCTAGGATTACAGGCATGAGCTACTGGCACCTGGCTATGATGATGTTTTTTAAAATAGTAAGTAATGATATATTTTATATTCAAGGTAACTGATGATTGGCCTGACCTCCTTTCATGTCTAGATACTAGAAGTATATAAGATAGGTATAGAGTATGTTTGTTGATACAAAGATTATCCAAAAGAGAAACTAGAGCACTGTTCAGTTAGGGAAAAGACTACTTCAGCAGTCAGAAATAGCTAATAGGGAGCAGTCTCCTGAACCCCCATGCGAAAATCACAGAGAAAAATCACAAGGTTTACCACTACCCAGGACAGCAAGCTCACCTCAAAAGCCAGCAGCCACGCAGGGGAGAGCCCCAGTGGGAGCAAAGCAGGAATGGAAGACAAAAACTACATCCAAGGGTTGCTGGAGGCAATGACTCAAGAAATAAAGCGAGAAATGGATCAGAAATTGAAAGAGCACAAGGATGAACTATCAAAAGATATACAGGATATCAAACAAAAGTTGGATGCAAAAATAGAAGCTGCACAAACCTCAGTAAGAAGTGAGATAAACGCCAAATTAGAGGTAATGCATACTGATCTCACCTCATTGAGAGGTGAGATCAGTACTCTGAGAACCAACATTGAATCCATAAAGGGATCCATTTCCACCATGCAAACCACAATAGAAGCCACGGTCAACAGAGTGAATGAAATGGAAGGTAGAGTGTCAGATACAGAAGACAGAATACACCAACTGGACCAAAAAGTGACAGATATGGAAAAATCACTCAAATTAAACCAAAGGGAAATTCAAGAGCAAGCAGATAATGCTAAAAAATTTAACCTTCGCATAATCGGAGTGGACGAAGGTGAGGAATTCCAGAGCAAGGGAATGCAACACCTATTTAACAAGATAGTCAATGAAAATTTTCCCCACCTCAAAAACGACCATCTTAACTACATCACAAAAGCTTATCGAACACCCAACAAGCAAGATCCCAGGAGAAACACTTCTAGGCACATAATAGTAACAATGATGGATCTGAATAATAAGGAAACAATCCTGCATGCAGCAAAAATGAAGAAATAGCTAATAGGAGGCTCTATTAACCTTTAAGATAGGACTTAGGAGAGGTAATCAGTTGATAATAAATACTACTTTGTCCTTCCCTTGTACATTTGGAATCAGCTGAGAAGAAAATTCCAAATAAGTCCTTTTAAAATTTTAAACTCGGGGAGGGAAGAGACAGTAAGAGAAAAACAAAGGAGGGGGCAACAATGCGCGATAGGAAATGTACTCATTATCTTACTCATGTAACTGTAACCCTCTGTACAGTATCTTTACAAGAATATATATATATAAAGAAAAATATTTAAACTCAGCCCCTTTTTTTTGTGGAGCTGTTGAGAATGTGCTGTGAATATGTGGCCAAATAGGCTTGCTTATATGCCCCCATTCTCAGTTTAACTTACCCCAACAGAATATGTAACACACCAGGAAAGGCATAGAGAATTAGTGGTATCCTGTAGTCCTGCTGGTACCTGAGCTTGCCTTGAGATCTAGAGATGGTTAGCTACTGCTTCTAGGTGTTAGGGGTTGGAAAATGAAAATGGGCTTTTATAGTTAAAAATCTCTTCAAGGATCAGGGCTGGGAAGGTGGCTCTGGTAGAGCGCTTGCCTTGGGTTTGATTCCTCAGCACTACATAAGAAAAAAGAAAAAAGCCCGAAGTGGTGCTGTGGCTCAAGTGGTAGAGCGCTAGCCTTGAGCTGAAGAGCTGAGGGACAGCACCTAGGCCCAGAGTTCAGGCCCCATGACCAACAACAACAACAAAAAAATCTCTTCAAGGAAATTGGATGTTATAAAATAGTGGCCTTTGCTATTAGCTCACTGGTGCTCATAGTACTCTTCCAAGATTGAACCATGATATTCATTTGTTAAGTGGAGCAGAGGGTTTTACATCTTTGACCTTTAAAATGTCAAAAGGTGAGGGAGTGTGGTTTTAGGAATTTGGGGTAATTTAGAGGCAAAGACAGTGGATAATTGTTTGGCAGCCTCTCTGTAAGTGCTTATTAAATAAAAAAGGCTTGCCTAGAGGCTAGATATGATTCAGTAGTAGAGTTTCTACCATGTGAGTGTTCATTCTCAGCAGCACACACACACACACACACACACACACACACACACACGCACAAAACCAACCAGGATTTCCCTATATCAGTAAAATACCTTTTACTTCAGTTTGGCTTGAAAATTTATGTCTGATCAGCAGAGACATAATTAAAAGCATCTCTATCACTTGAGCCACACCTCTTTTTGTTTATGGGTTTTTTTTTTTTCCAGTCAAGCTATTTTTCTAAAAAAAGTATTGATTAGCCGTGACACATGTCTCTATGTTCGTGTCCTGTCTCCTGTCTCTTCTCCAGGCACTTCAGCTCTCCATTGGAGGTGAATTGGTTTGTTAGTATTGTTTTTGTCCTTTCCTCTCTGGCCTTCATGGCTCAGTTTCCTAATAGTGTTAAGTGTATTTGCTGGGTGCTGGTCTTTGAGCCAGGAGTCCACCATGCAGTTGCCGGCCTTAATAAAGACTCTTGATTCGACCTCTCAGAATGTGGCTTCTTTGTATCTCACTATTGAATTTACCTTACAACACCTGCCCCTGTCATCTGACAAACTGTATAATATTAGGTAAATTATTTAACCTCTGTATGCCTATTTTCTCATCTAAAAATGAATGATACTAACACATACTTCATAGGGCTTTAATCAGAAGTGAATGTGTTCATATTTATAAAGAACTTGGCAAAGTAGGGTGACAATGTTGAAGGGGGTGATGCATTGTATTCATAAACTTTTGTTAAATGGCTCTCCTTTGTACAACTACTTAAAAGATTATTAAAATCATATTTAAAAAGTATTAAGTATTTGTACAAAAAGGGTAAGTCAGGTTATGAGTATAATGCATTTTAATCAATGTCACTCCTTCATCGTTCTTCCCCACTTCCTCCCCTCTCCCCTCTCTACCCTCAAGTTACATAGTTCAACTTTTACAAAATCTATGTTGAATATAATAACTGCATTTGCTCACCCTTCCATTTGTGTCCCCTTCCTCATTATCCTTCCCCCTATAAAAACCATGTTTCTGCTTTATTTGTATTTTTGTTTTTGAAAGTTTTGCTAACTGCCTTGCTAGTTTCCTAAGCTTGATCCTTTTGCCTTTGCCTCTCAAGTAACTGGGACTACAGCTGTTCTCCACTAGACCTGCTTTTTTTTTTTTTTTTTGGTTGTCATCAAGATGATGTCTAACTGTATAGCTCAGGCTGATCTTAAATTCACTGTTTAGCCAAGACTGGCTTCAAACTTGTAACCTTTCTTCTGCCTTTTGAGCACTGGAAATAAGAGACATACAGCACCATGACTAAAACTTTTCTAATTTTTGTTAAGCAGCTCTTAGTCATATTCTGAAAGCTATAATTATTTTCAGCACTGTCTAATTTAGTATAAAAATACTATTCACAGACTGGGTTCTCTTGTACTGAGAAACAGAATTCTGGCTCTGTACTTGTGGTTGTATTTGCTAATTCTTCTTTCTCTTTTTTTCTCTTTTCAGAATCCTATTCTAAGAACACAGGAACTCAGGTATCTACCATGGTGTTGGGTCCTGAACAGAAGATGCCAGATGGTAACTTACAGCTTTATGTTATTGTATACTTTTTGTTTGGAATTAGGCTTATGATAGTAGCAGAAAATTACCATAGTTTCCTTTTGTCTGTTTCAACAATACCATGCAGAGGTCATTCCTGATATAATAAGGGACATATGAATATAAATTTATAACCACAGAGATCTGCCTCATAGCTTATTTTCAATTTAGAGATGAGCCACTATTAGGTTTGTTTTGTATAGCAATAATGCTTGCACAGACAGTACTATTTCCAGACTTAGCATAATGTCCTCCTGAGTGCTCTGACCACTCATTTCACTTTTAATGTCTCAGATGTGCAGGCAGCAAGACATACAATACAAGGCAAGCCTCTTTTAGTCTGTATTTTACTGGAACTTTTGAGTGCCTAATCTTTCCTAAATCTGAGCTTCCTTTCTGGAATTTTCATTCCTTTTCTATAAGTATCCTCATCAATGTAGTCAAGCTTGCCATAGAAACAAAACTCTTCCTTCTCTGGTTGGCAAGTGTAAGGATTTATTAGCTATTTGATGCCTGTATCAAAGTGGACTTGGCATATTTCTGGTGGGTTGGATCTTTTCTTTCAGACCTTCTATTTTCTGCATTTAAGATTTAACTGTAACCAGGCTGAGGTGGTTCATATGTGAAATCCTAATTATTCAGGAAGCCAAGAGTTGGAGGATCACAGTTTAAAGTAAACCCAGGCAGAAAAGTCCTCAAGACTTCATCTCCCATTAACCAGCAAAATGCTGGGCTGGAGGATGGCTCAAGTAGTAGAACACTAGCTGTGAGCAAAGCAAGCCTAGTGAGAGTACAATGCCCTGAATTCAAGCCCTAATAGTGGCCCCATAAAAAAAAGAGAGAGAGAGAAAAAAAAAAGAGGTTGATTGTAAAATGCAGGTCTTTGGGAAACACTGAAAACAGGCTAAATGAGTCCTGCTATCTCTGTCACCTATGCCAGAAGCCTTTCCTGTAGGGCTTAGTCAGGACACAAATGTTTCTGCCTATGGGTTTCCTGCAGTACAGGTTTTTGCCTAAATTACAAGGATTTTGCAACTTCTACCCCCATCCCATTTTTTCTTTCCTCCTCCTCCCTCCCACTTTCCTTTTCTTTCTTCCTTTTGTAATCCTTCCTTTTTTGACATGGATTGGCTAAATTGTCCAGATTGAACTTGAAATCTTCCTGCCTAGCTCACAACAAAGACCCACAACACAGCACTCAGGTAATTTCTACCCTTTTTGAGAATCCTGGTGGAGGTATAAAGTCCTACCAAATACGAATGTAGAGAGTACAGTCTAGTAAACATATATTTCCTTTCCTTTCTTTTTTTCTGGGCAGCATTAGGATTAGAACTCAGGCTATGTACTTGTTAGATAAGCAGTCTGTCATTTGAGCCATACCCTCATCCCTTTATGCTTTAGTTATTTTTCAAATAAGGTCTTAGTTTATGTCCAGGTTGCCTTTGAACATGATCTTTCTGTTTATGCCTCCTGCATAGCTGGGGTAACGGATATACTCCACTATACCTCAGCTTTTCATTGAGATGTTGTCTTGTTAACTTCTTTGCCTGGGCTGACCTTAGGCCATAGTCCTCCACCACGTCTCCTGAGTGGATGGGATTACAGGCATTAGCCACTGTGTCTTACTCCTTTAAAAATGTTCGATTTTAAGTTACTAATGGGATTGCTTGACGTGATATATTTTAATCCCTAAATGTCAGTGTTTTGAGAGAAAAACGAAATAATTATAAAAATGACAGAATGTGACTAGACATGTGAAGTAGAAACCCCATTGTGAGATTAGTGTTAAAACTGATCTAATTGTGATTGGAGATAAGTAGAAGAATGGGGGGGAGGGGAGTGCAGGGAGAGGGAGACAGGAGGAGGAAGAGGAGGAAGAAGAGAGGGAGAGCTATATTTGGCAGATCTTTGAGACAGGTCTTACTGTGTAGCCCAAGCTGGCCTTGAATTGAGGACCTCCTGCCTCAGCCTTCCTAGGGCTGGAATTGCTGGCACGATTACCACACTGGGCTTGTACTTTAATTTTACCATGTCCATATGTTATCTAGTTAAAAAATAATTCTTTTAGCAAGTGAGATAGCTCATGCCTGTAATCCCAGCTACATGGGAGGCATAGGTAGGAGGATCACAGTCTAAAGCTTGTGTTAGGCCAGGCACCGGTGGCTCACACCTGTAATCCTAGCTACTCAGGAGGCTGAGATCTGAGGATTGATGTTCAAAGCCAGCCCAGGCAGGAAAGTCCGTGAAACTAGTGGCTCTATGGTTCAAGTGGTAGAGCACTAGCCTTGAGCTGAAGAGCTGAGGGACAGCACTCAGGCCAGCATTCAAGCCCCAGGACCAACAAAAAAAAATAAAAAATAAAATAAAGCTGGCGTTAGCAAAATTGCTACCTAAAAAATAACCAAAGCAGGGCTGGGAAGGTGGCTCAGTGGTAGAGTGCTTGCCTTGCATGCATGAGACCCTGTGTTCCATTCCTCAGCACCACATAAGCAAAAAGAAAAAAAAGCCGGAAGTGGCACTGTGGCTCAAGTGGTAGAGCGCTAGCCTTGAGCTGAAGAGCTGAGGGACAGCGCCCAGGCTCAGAGTTCAGGCCCCACAACCAGACCCCCCCCCCAAAAAAAAAAAAATAACCAAAGCAAAAAAAGGGCCTGAGTTTAAACCCCCTCAAAATTATTTTAAAATAATTAGATAAAAAATAAACTATTGGAAAAAAATAGCCAGAATTAGGATGGTCCCTTGTATATTTAGGTATAAAATGATTTAGTTTTAGGTGCTAAGAATATATAGCGTAGGCCGGGCACTGATGGCTCACACCTGTATTCCTAGTTAGTCAGGAGGCTGAGATCTGAGGATCATGGTTCAAAGCCAGCCTGGGCAGGAAAGTCCACAAAATGCTTTTTTTTTTTTTTGGAGGGGGGGAGGTCCAGTCATGGGCCTGAACTCTGGGCCTGGGCACTGTCCCTCAGCTCTTCAGCTCAAGGCTAGCACTCTACCACTTGAGCCACAGCGCTACTTCTGGCTTTTTTTCTTTTTGCTTATGTGGTGCTGAGGAATCGAACCCAGGGCCTCATACATGCAAGGCAAGCGCTCTACCACTGAGCCACCTTCCCAGCCCGCAAAACTCTTATCTCCAATAAACCACCAGAAAACTGGAAGTGGCGCTGTGGCTCAAGTGGTAGAGCCCTCACCTTGAGCTAAAAAGCTGAGGGATAGTGCCCAGGCCCAGAGTTCAAGCCCCACAACTGACCAAGAAAAAAAAAAAGGAAGAATATGTAGCTCATTGATGGGACACTTGGCTAGCATGCCCAAAGCCTTGTGTTTCATCTCTAGCATTACTAAAAATTAAATAAATAAAAATTATTTCATTATTACTCTGGATGAACTGTTAATGTGTTTTGTTCATTCTAATTCATTTTTGTCTCAAATATATTAATTCAGGTGATGCTTCTGGGGACCATGCGGACACTGTCAGTGTTGGTGCCATCAACCCGGCCTATAGTAACTCCTCCCTCACACAGTCCACTGAACCCTCAGAGGAACCCTTTGCCACATACTTTGATGAGAAGATTGCCATTCCTGAAGAGGAGGTTAGTGACAAGTCCTTGGATGGGACCCTGTGGCTAGAGAAAGCCTGTGAGGGAAAGACCTGCTGTACAACTCAAGCTCAGCAACTTCAGTTTGAACTGTGGCAGTCAATCCCTATTGATAATCAGAATTAATAAGCTGCTGAGGAAAGCGACAGTCTGCACACAGTTCTGCCACTAGTGAACACGTTTTGGTCAGGAAAGTATTTTAGTTGTTATCTTTTTTCAAATGTGTTTTCTATCCTGTGTGTTGTTGGGCACAGAGTCTCTGACTCTGTTCCTTTGGTTTAAGAATATGACACTGGGGGCTGGGAAGGTGGCTCAGTGGTAGAATGCTTGCCTCGCATGCATGAGGCCCTGGGTTCCATTCCTGAGCACCACATAAGCAGAAAAAGCCAGAAGTGGTGCTGTGGCTTAAGTGGTAGAGCATTAGCCTTGAGCTGAAGAGCTGAGGGATAGCACTCAAGTCCAGAGTTCAAGCCCCACGACCAGCAAAAAAAAAAAAAAAAAAGAATATGACACTGATAGAAGGAACAGGTAAGAGAGGGGTCTCAAGCAGGGAAGTGACCGGCTTGTTGATAAAAAGTGGTATGAGACAGATATGAAACATGGACACATGTCATATCAAACACTAATCCCTTGCTTTTGTGAACCTGATACTGTTATTTCATGTTTGATAAAAATACAGAGAAATTAATTCATGACTTTGAGGTGACATTCCATTTGATCTGTTTCCTTGCTTGCACAGTACTCCTGTTTCAGCTTTCGTAAACTCTGGGCATTTACGGGACCAGGCTTTCTTATGAGCATTGCCTATTTGGATCCAGGAAACATTGAATCTGATTTGCAGTCTGGAGCAGTAGCTGGATTTAAGGTGAACATCTAGTGTTTGCTTCTTTTATATATACAATATACACTCACATCCTTTCTCCAACCTGCATATTAAGTAGCCCTTTTTTGTGCTAGTCCTTTTTTGTGCCAGTCCTTTTTTGTGCTGGTAATTTTGAGATTAGGGTCTCAAGTTTTGTCTTGGCTAAGGACTGAATTGTGGTCTGTTATGCTTTATACAATAGGTGGGACAACGACTCATATGTACCACCATACCCAGCTTCTTTGTTGAGATGGAGGCTCACAAACATTTTTTTATTCACTTATTTATTTATTTTGGACTGGGCTGGCTGGAAATGGGATCCTCTCAATTTCAGCCTCTCATGTAGTTGAAATGCTAGGTGTATGTCATCATGGACAGCTATTAGTTCAGAGAGATATTGAGTTATGCCTGGACTAGCCTTGAATCATAATCCTCCTGATCTCAGCTTCCCAGTAGCTAAGATTACAAGCATGAGCCACTGGTTCCCAGGTTAATGGGTTCTTTTGTAAATGTTTTCAACTTGAAAAAACTTGCAAATGAACTGCTTTGTCTAGAAATACTAGAAATTTAACTTTAAATTTGATATTTTTTTTTTTTTAATTTTTCTTTTGGGTCCGGTCGTGGGGCCTCTAGGCCTGGACACTGTCCCTCAGCTCTTCAGCTCAAGGCTAGTGCTCTACCATTTGAGCCACAGCGCCACTTCCAGCTTTTTTCTTTTTGCTTATGTGGTGCTGAGGAATCGAACCCAGGGCCTCATGCATGCAAAGCAAGTGCTCTACCACTGAGCCATCTTCCCAGCCCCTGATATGTTTAACTTTAAATTTGAACTAATAAGCTATATGTAGATAACAATTTTATTATTTTACTATTTTATCATTTGTCTGTACCTCTTGCTGCTGTGGTAAGCCCAGGTGTTGGAATTATCCGACTTAAATGTTACATGACACAGAATATTTCTGTGAGGGCAGTTAATTCTGGTAAGTTGTATACTGAAGTTTACAGTGCTCACATATTTGTCACCATACATGGTGAAAAAAATTTATGTTGTCAGAAGGATTTCTGATAAACAGCAGGCTGCTAGTAGTTAAGCTTTTGGAGAGTCCACTATACAAGGTTTAACATTTCTAACTGCTGCATTTTTCCAGGGTCCACTGTACTTCATTGGCAATGAAACTTAAGTGAAAATATTTGCCACCTGTTTTTTTTTTTTTTTTTTTTATTCACATAGCTTCTATGAAAAAAGGAGAAACTACAGATAGGAGAATCTGAAGCATAGAAAAATCCAAGGTACCCACTGTGTCATTGGTGCAGAACTCAGGCCATTTGATTCCTGATCTGGGCTCTTTCCTGAGTGTACTATTTTCCCCTTTACATTACCAAACAACCAAGGAAAGAAAGGAAGCAAGGAAGCAAAGTGGTCTAATATTTTTTCCGGTGGCTTTTGTTCTTAGTTGCTCTGGGTCCTTCTACTGGCCACCATTGTGGGTCTGCTACTCCAGCGCCTTGCAGCTAGACTGGGAGTGGTCACTGGGCTACATCTTGCTGAAGTATGTCACCGTCAGTACCCGAAGGTGAGTAGTGTGCTGTCTTATTTGTCTCTCACCCATGTAGGAATTTGTATCTGGCAGATATATTCTGTACTGAGCCATTGGACCATTTGGGGTCAGTGACCTTGAAGATTGGAAGTACTAAGGGAAATCCTGCCCTTCTTAACTTTTTTCTTCTCCTTCAAAACATAACTTGGGATTCATGTTTTCCCAGGTTTTTTAAGAAAAATTCTGCTTGCTGTTCATTTACTGTTCCCTCAACTTTCTGCCATCTAGCTACACAGACAATGGGAGTGGGTGTAAGGTGCCTTCTCCAAGCACTTTTATGCATATAGCTGTGTTATTACATCAGTGTGTGCGTGTGTGTGTGTGTGTGTGTGTGTGTGTGTGTGTGTGTGTGTATAGAGAGAGAGAGAAAGAGAGAGAAAGAGACCTATCTTTCTATACATAGATCTTTTTTAGTTTGTCCTTGCTGTGAATAAGGTAAGCTTTTTCCTTTTACTACAAACTAAATGTGGCAACAGTTTTGCATTTGCTAATTATTCTTCAATTTACTCTTTCCCCCTCGGAGCTATAGCTTCCTTCTACATATTTTGGGTTTTTCTGCCTCCTAAGGCAGAAATGAACTCCATGTCTGGAAGTCTTTTTTTTTTCCCCTTGGGTAAGTGGGTAGGTGGGTGGATTGAGGCAGCATTTCTGTGGACCAAACTCAGGACTATGAAGCACTAGGAGGATGAAGAGGGAGCTTTCTTTCCCCCAGCACTTTTATGAATATATCCGCAATACTCTGGAAGTTTGCATTATATTATGTTTTGTTTAAAAAACGCTTATAAAAGTCTGTGTGGGTCTGTGCCAAAGGGTGAATTCTAAACAAAGTAGGAAATTCTTAGAAATAAAGAATTAGAATCCCATCTTTTTACTCTGCTGTATAGGTTCCACGAATCATCCTGTGGCTGATGGTAGAGTTGGCTATCATTGGTTCAGATATGCAGGAAGTGATTGGCTCAGCCATTGCCATCAATCTCCTGTCTGTTGGAAGGTGAGCTGGTTTTCCTCTATAAAGTTATCAGTGTTATGTTGGATTCAAAGCCAAGGTAAAAATGAAAACTCAGTTCATGTTTAATTCAACTTCAGTGTTACTCTCTATGAAGCCTTTCTAGAAGCACCTTTATCTCCCCCAGCAGATGTAGTTGCCTATGGTGGTACATTTCTCTGTTTCTTCTCCTATGATGGTACATTCTTTTTTATAGAGTATGTGTCATTTGAATTGCAATTATTTATTTGTATGTCAGTTTATCCCCACTGGTTAGTGAGCACCTTGCGAATAAGACCCAGCATTTTCAGTTGTGTGTCCTAAATGTCTGACATTGACTCTAAATCAAAGATTCAATGCATGCACAGAAGTTGGAGCTGTGCTTCTCAACTACCTAAGACTTCCTATCACCAACTCTTTTCCTCCAAGTATTCTACATGGGGAGAACTATTGGGAAGAGAATAGTTTGAGTTTTTCTTTCTTCAATTCCCATTTCTTATTTCTAACCTAGGGTTCCCCTGTGGGGTGGAGTTCTAATCACCATTGCAGACACTTTCGTATTTCTGTTTTTGGACAAATATGGTAAGGAGAGTGGGAATGGGGAATTAAAGGAGCCACTCCCTATGGCATGGCAGCTGGGGTGGTCTGCCTTCTGTGAGCTCACTGCTGCATTCCCTCCTTAGGCTTGCGGAAGCTTGAAGCATTTTTTGGCTTTCTCATCACTATAATGGCTCTCACATTTGGATATGAGGCAAGTGTGACAGGCTATGCATTAGCCTCTTAAAACAAGGTTTCCATTGTGTTTTGATTAGTGATTATTTCCTGGTTTGTGTTCCAATCCAGATACCCCCAGGAATCAGTATCTTCATTTAAAGTAATAACATCTTTCTATGTCAAGTTCTAATAAACTTGTATCTGCTTCTGGCTTGGCTAAACATTGGAAACTATATCTACTCTATGAGTAGATCTTGAAATTGTCCCAAAGTTTCTAAGAAATGCTAATGCAGGGAAGAACATAATGAGAAATGTCTATGAATGAATCTCTCACCATATACTAGTGACTGTGATAAGTGATTTTTAAATGAATATAGGTGACTATATAGTGTACTAAGTGTGGATATTCAAGAACTAATGTGATACTAAATATTTAGATTATATAGTCACAAATTCTTTAACATCTGGAAGTGAGTCCCTTGTTATTAGTTACTCATGTAGCTGTGATCAAAATACCTAAGAGAACTTAGGAAAGATTCATTCAAGAAGGTTTAGCCTCTGGTTTCTTGTACTCATTGGCTTGGGCAGAATATCATGGCAGCATGAGCATGTGAGGAGGAAGTTCCTCACCTCATGGTGGACAGGAAGCAAAGAGTGACAAGAAGAGGCAGAGCCACATGTGCTCTTCAAAAACACCCCATTCCTCTAGCTAGGTTCTATCTCAGTGTTTTCAACACTTCCCAAAATAACACTACCACCTGGGGACCAGGTGTTGAACATATGAGCCTTTGGTGAACAGTTCATATTCTAACCAAAAGAACTTCTTTTGTTCTTTTGTGTTTGTTTTTGTTGTTGCTAGGTATCAAATCCAGGGCTTTGTGCATATTGGATGTTCTTCCACTGAAGTATACTCCAGAGTTTTTTATTTCTTGAAAGAATATAGCCTTCTAAGTTGGGCAAGCTGACCTCAGAACTTCTAGGCCCAAGTAATCCTCCTACTTTAGCCTTCCAAATACCTGGGACTACAGGCATGTACCACTGCACCCAGCTATTGTTTGAATTTTTGGTGATTTTCTACTCTTCACACAAATAGGTCATTGTTGCAGGAAGAGGGACTATAAGGGATAAAGGAAGCAGGTGCTGGTGGCTCACGCCTGTAATCCTAGCTACTTCAGGGGGCTGAGATCTGAGGATCGCGGTTCAAAGCCAGCCCGGGCAGGAAAGTCCGGAAAACTCTTATCTCCAATAAACCACCAGAAAACCAGAAGTAGCTCAAGTGGTAGAGTGCTAGCCTTGAGCTGAAGAGCTGAGGGACAGTGCTCAGACGCAGAGTTCAAGCCCCATGACCAACAATAAATAAATAAATAAGAATAAAGGATGCCAGAATTCTCTGATCCTATATTACTTCCTATCTCATGTTTTATCAAAGGCTAATCAGTGATGTTGATGTGTAGTATGTTACAGTGAAACCCAACCAGAGCCAAGTACTCAAGGGCATGTTTGTGCCTTCCTGTTCTGGCTGTCATACGCCACAGATTGAGCAGGCAGTTGGCATTGTGGGAGCTGTGATCATGCCACACAACATGTACCTACACTCTGCTTTGGTCAAGGTAAGCAAGACCCTTACATTGTTGGCCTTCAATACAGTTCATAGGATCATTCCCTTAACAACAAGGAACATAGATTTAGCTTATAACTCTTAAAGTCCTGAGGAACAAGATATTTCTAGTGCTGGACATTTATAAACTCCACATACTCTTGAATTATGTTCTTATCACCAAGTTGACCAGAAGCTACTAACCCCAAAAAGAAGCTATGGCTAACTTTCTTCATGTAAGACCTGAAAGTATACCAAGCCTTTTGTGTTTCAGCCTCCAAAGCCTGAGTCACCTTGTGGTGGGGGGTCAAGAGGGGAGGAACCCAACCAAGCTTTACCAATAAGTCTTAGTATTCACTTACTGGGTGATTTCAGAGACTTTTTCATAATTAGGACTGAAATCAGCAGGTCAGTGTTTGCAGGTCAGTAGTCTTTCCAGCCACTATATCTGAGGGTTCACTTAGTCACTCTTCCCTATCTAGGGAATGTGCAGTGCTGTCAAAGGGTATGGAGTTCTTAATCACTTAATGGACTTGGATTTAAGTCAGTTGTTGGATCTTGTATTTCATCTAGTCAGTTGTTTGCTCTCTTAATCTCTCAGCTGACTCTAAAGTTCTAAGTTTTACAAGGAAATTTGCTGCAAGTGGTGAAAAATTGACTGCTGCTATCTCTTTAGTCTAGACAGGTAAACCGGGCCAGTAAGCAGGAAGTTCGAGAAGCAAATAAGTACTTTTTCATTGAGTCCTGCATTGCTCTCTTTGTTTCCTTCATTATAAACGTCTTTGTCGTCTCCGTCTTTGCTGAAGCATTTTTCGGGAAAACCAATGACCAGGTGGTGAGTATAACCAGGGTCATGGGTGGTAGTGAGTATTAGGGTAAAATGAAGGCTAAATGAGGCAGGAAGCTACAACAATGCCTAGATGCCCAGGGAAAATATATCTATAACCTCAATTCTACCTATACACTAGTCAGATTATGTGTGGCTGGCCCAGTCTATCTCTGTCTTTTGCAGTATTTTCCTGGAAAGGCACCTGGCCTCTTACTCACCATTGAGTCATGCTGTCATGTGGATGACTTCAAAACTCTTTGGCTGCTTCTCCTTCCATTTCCTGACTATCAGCTTCTCCCTGTCTGCCAGTCTTACCACCTAAGCTGAGGACAGGTTGGGAAGAGCTAGCAAACAGAAAACACACTTTGTGACAAGTATAAAAACACAACATTTGTTATTCAAATCTGTGTCTTTTGGACTCCTGATACCTATATAATCTTTTTGTTTTCTTTCTTTCTCTCTTTCCTTCTCTCTTCCTTCCTTCCTTCTTTTTTTTTCTGTTGTTTGTTTTTGTGCAGACCTGAGCCTTGAACTCAGGGCCTGGGAGTTGTCCCTGAACTATTTTATTCAAGGCTAGTGCTCCACCACTGGAGCACAGCTTTATTTCTATCTTTTTCCCCCTTTGGTGGCTAATTGGAGATAAGACTCTCATATTCTTTCCTGCCCAGCCTGGCTTTGAAACTTGATCCTCAGATCTCAGCCTCCTAAATAGCTAGGATTACAGGAGTGAGCCACTAGTGCCTACTTCCCCCTACCCCTCCCGCAAAGCTATGCTGAGTACCAAGCCTGATGCTTTGTGCATGTTGAGTGTATACTCTACCACTGAGCTGTACCTCCAGGTGCTTTTTTAGTTTTTATCACCACTTGTTTTTTAGGACCTCTAGCTCTCTTTTGAATGAATTCTCCCTATTCCATGTCCTCTCATGTTTGAAGCCTTCTATGGGCCTCTTCTATCATTGTTTAAAATGAGCAAGATTTATGTATTATCAGGGCACACTGACTTAATAAAGAAGTTTGACAAAATGGGGATCTAAAAGATTGTGGAGGAGGATTGCAAACAATAATACCAGTGTCTGTTCATTATCACATCCTGCTCTAGGCTTTCTTTCAGACTACTCCTTATAAAAGACCTTGATGTGATTTGTAGTAGAGCTCTTATCTGCTTCCTGACTCTAAAACAAAAATTGCTCTTAAACTGCTTTGGGTTCTAGGTTGGTGTCTGTAAAAACAGCAGCAGTCCCCATTCTGGCCTTTTTCCTGAGGATAACTCAACTCTGGCTGTGGACATCTACAAAGGGGTAAGCATGTTCAGGTTTGTGATCTTTGCTCTTAAATCAATTTTGGCTTATTTTATGGTCTTTTTGTGAGTTGTTTCAGATCTGACCATGTTTGCTTTAGAGTATTATTTATTTCAGAGATCAACTTGCTAGACAAGCATTTGGGTTATATGATTAGGGTGGATTGTCATATGGTATCAGTTGAAAAGTTTCCAAAATCTTGGTGACAGCTTATGATTGTTAATTGTGGTAAATAATGTTCTTTACCAGGGTCTCTCAGTCCCTTTATTCTGTTTATATAATAACCCTCCAATAGTATAATGTATAGTGTACTGCATTCCCCAAATATATTTGACCTTTCTTTACACTCTTACTACTTTCCAGAATGGGGGAGGGGTACAGAAAGATATGGGAATGTGGTATAGGCTTCTGTTATTTCTGTATGTAAGATGGAGATGAATGCTTTAGGTGCTTGGAAAAGAGAGTACTAGGCTGAGTAATGAAGGAACGTCCAGCAAAGTTGAAAATAAAAGCCTATAGAGTCAGATTAAAACTGAGCCTAGCTTTGGAGCAGTGTCTAGCACAGGACTTGGTATGAGTGCTACCTAACTAAGAAGGAAGAATGCCACAAGGATGAGCTGTTGGCTAAGCAGATGACTAACATAGCTCATCTTCCCTTGCCTCTCCCAGGGTGTTGTGCTGGGATGTTACTTTGGACCTGCTGCACTCTACATCTGGGCAGTGGGGATCCTTGCTGCAGGACAGAGTTCCACCATGACAGGAACCTATTCCGGTCAGTTTGTCATGGAGGTATGTGCTAGTGTTAAATAGAGAGATGACACAGACATTTGATGTTTCTTTTTTTCTTTCTTTCTTTTGTTTTGTTTTGTTGCAATCCTGGGGTTTGAACTCAGCCTCAGGCTTTCTAGGCTGGTGCTCTTCCACTTGAACCATGCTTTCAGTTCTGTTTTTTGTTGGTTATTGTTGAGATAGGGTCTTACCACCATTTCTGCCTGTGCTGTCCTCTGTGATCATTCCACTATCCTAAGTAGCGAGGATTATAAGCATAAATAATTGGCTTTGGGCTTCTTTATTTCATGCTTCTAAGTTCTCTCTCATCCCCAATTCTCTCTTTTCCATTCCAGAAAATCATCCTGATTCTGTGTTTTTTTTTTTTTGTTGTTGTTGTTGTTTTTGGGTCCGGTCGTGGGGCCTGAACTCTGGGTCTGGGCGCTGTCCCTCAGCTCTTCAGCTCAAGGTTAGCGTTCTACCACTTGAGCCACAGCGCCACTTCTGGCTTTTTTCTTTTTGCTTATGTGGTGCTGAGGAATTGAACCCAGGGCCTCAGGCATGCAAGGCAAGCGCTCTACCACTGAGCCACCTTCCCAGCCCATGATTCTGTGTTTTCTTTCAGGGGTTCCTGAACCTAAAATGGTCACGTTTTGCCCGAGTGATTCTGACACGCTCCATTGCCATCATCCCCACTCTGCTTGTTGCTATCTTCCAAGATGTAGAGCACCTAACTGGGATGAATGACTTCCTGAATGTTCTGCAAAGCTTACAGGTGAGCAAGGAGCTGGGAATGCTCACATCATATTTATTCAGACATTAAATCTTGCCATCAGGCATCAAGTCTTGTACTGACTACTGGTAGTAGGACATTGAGGACTTACATGAATAGTTTTTCAGCTTGTTGAATTGGACTTATGAGACCTAAAGAATACCATATTACAATTCATTAATCCAGCAAACATTAAATGGTTATAAGACTTTTATGCTAAAGGGGAAGGAGGCAGGAGAATGGAGAAAAGGATGGTGAATGAATGCAGTCATAATTTTTAATGTACATACAGGAAAATGGAAATAGGAAACTTTAGAAGATAGGTAGAGATAGGATAGATGGAAGGGCAGGAGAACAATGGAAGAGGTTACATTGATCAAGATGCGTTATACAAGTCAGGCACTAGTCGCTAATGCCTATACTAGCCACTCAGGAGGCTGAGGTCTGAGGATTTAGGTTCGAAGTCACACAGACAGGAAAGTCTGTGTAACTCTTGTCCCCAGTTTTTTTTATTTTTTATTTATTTTTGGTTGGACCTGGGGCTTGAACTCTGGGCCTGAGCACTGTCCCTCAGCTCTTTAGCTCTACCATTTGAACCACAGTGCCGCTTCCAGTTTTCTGGTGGTTTACTGGAGATAAGAGTCTCATGGCCTTTCCTGCCTGGGCTGGCTTTGAACTTCGATCCTCAGATCTCAGCCGCCTGAGTGGCTAGGATTACAGGCTTGAGCCACTGGCACCCGGCTTGTCTCCAGTTGTTTTTTTGTTTTGTTTTGTTTTTTGTTTTTTGTTTTTTTTTTGGCCAGTCCTGGGGCTTGAACTCAGGTCCTAGACACTGTCCTTGACCTTCTTTTTGCTCAAGGCTAGCACTCTACCACTTGAACAACAGCACCACTTCTGGCTTTTTCTGTTTATGTGGTACGAAGAATGGAACCCAGGGCCTCATGCATGCTAGGCAAGCATTCTATCACTAAGCTACATTCCCAGCCCTATCCATTTTTTAAAAAAAAACAGAAGTAGAACTGTCGCTCAAGTGGTAGAGCACTGATCTTGAGCACAAAAAGCTCAGGGACAGCCCTCAGGCTCTGAGTTCAAGCCCAAGGACTGGTGTGAATATAACAATGAAAGAATGCCAAATTCTGGGGAGGCTAAGAAGACAAATCAGATTCAATATTTTGTCTTTGTGTATGGACACTTATGATCACCATTTATCCTAGATTACAGATAGCTTGAAGGCTCCATAGATTTCAGCATAAAGTTTGAGTATGTGGGGATGATAGAAATAATTGTGATTTCCTTCTGTTAGTTATGTTTTTCTTTGTGATAGTACCAGGGGAACCCAGAATCCATGTCTGATTTTTTTTTTCCAGCTTCCCTTTGCTCTCATACCTATCCTCACATTCACAAGCTTGCGGCCAGTAATGAGTGACTTTTCTAATGGAATGTGAGTATAGTCATTTCCATTCTTTCAAAGGGGAAGCTTCTATGTGGAAATAGGGAACTTTTATCTAACACACCAATCAGAAATTAGTCACATCAGGGATTTTACATGCTTTGATAAATGATTACTAGCAATCATTTGGTATAGAGAATGGAGAATATGAATGTAGTAAAAGAGGAAAAACAATTTTTCCATGCAGTTTTTTAGTGCTGAATTTTACTTAAGCTTTAGCCACTGAAGTTTGAATTCTGTGTTAAATGATCTCAATGTGAAAAGCATAAGCTAATACTTTTGCATACATCTGAAGGTATGTGATTTTTGTATTATTTGTCAAATTTCAATGGCTCAGGCTTGTTACTTTTTTAAGGTCCCAAATTTTAGAATAAATATTAAGATTTTGATATATTACTTCCCTTGTTACTTTCTGTTACTGCATAACTTTAGCTCTCTTTTTGCAATGCCCCAAATCCTTATCATATTACCCTTATGAGATGCAATTTTCTGTCTGTGGCCAGTTTGGACTGTTTTACTATCTACTGTGCTGATCTTTTACAGAGGCTGGAGAATTGCAGGCGGGATCTTGGTCCTTATTGTATGTTCCATCAACATGTACTTTGTAGTGGTTTATGTCCAGGACCTAGGGCATGTGGTGTTGTATGTGGTGGCTGCAGTGGTCAGTGTGGCATATCTGGGCTTTGTGTTCTACTTGGTAAGTCCAGTCTGGAAGGAGAAGGGGCACAAATATCTGGGATGGCACAGGTTGGGCAAACTGATGTTCAGAAATGGATGGATCCAAAAGATCACATAGCAATCTACCTCCTCGCTATTGAAGTATGGCATTTTCAAGGCATCTGTTTATATTTCTAATCATCAGACTTACTAATATCATATTTTTCTGTTTCTATCTTCAATTCCTGACAAGGAGAAAAGTAGGTCTAAGACACAAAAAAAGTAGTAAGAATGAAAGTGGAGAGTGATACGAGATGGAGCTGGAAAAGGCATGTGCACTGTGATCTAGAGCTTTCAAGTGGGACACAGGTGGGCTCAATTCTGGGCCAGCTTTACCACTTACTAGTTATATAAAGAAATAAATACTCTCATTGAATTACTCTATAGTTATTAGAATATCTTAGTTTTACAAATAAATAATCTTGACTTTAAAAATCCTAGTTATGGAGTTGAAGGTGTGGCTCAGATGGTAGTGTGCCAGCCAAAGAACAAAAGTAAGCATCAGGTACCAAGTTTGAATCCTGATCTTGAACAAAAGTAAAAAAAAAAAAAGAAACCAGGTGCTAGTGACTTGTGCCTGTAATCCTAGCTACTCAGGAGGTTGAGATCTAAGGATCATGTTTCAAAGCCAACCGAGGCAGGAAAGTCCATGAGATTTTAATCTCCAATTAATCATCAGAAAATGGGAAGTGACACTATGGTTCAAAGTGGTAGAGTACTAGCCTTGAGCAAAAAAGTTCAGGGACAGTGCCAAAGCCCTCAGTTCAAGCTTCACAACTGGCAAAAGATAATAAGAAAGAAGGAAAGGGGAGGGAAAGGAAGGGAAGTCTTGGTTATAAAACTTAGTTATGGGGGAGAATGGTGGAAGGGGTGGCATTGTTCAAGATATAGTGTACTTAAAAACTGATTTGTTGAAATGAAACTCATTTGTACAACTATTTAATGAGAATGTTTTAAAACTAATTTTTAAAAAATTTAATTACAGCCGGGCACAAGTGGCTCACACCTGTAATCCTAGCTACTCAAGAGGCTGAGATCTGAGCATCGCGGTTCAAAGCCAGCCCGGGCAGGAAAGTCCATGAGACTCTTATCTCCAATAAAAACCACTAGAAAACTAGACGTGGCACTGTGGCTCAAGCGGTAGAGCACTTGCCTTGAGCTGAAGCGCACAGGGACAGCGCCCAAGCCCTACAACCAAGCAAAAAACAAAACAAAACCCTTAGTTACGTAGAACAGGAAGGGAATTTTTTGGGGGGGCCTGAACTCTGAGCCTGGGCACAGTCCCTCAGCTCTTCAGCTCAAGGCTAGCGCTCTACCACTTGAGCCACAGCCCCACTTCTGGCTTTTTCTGCTTATGTGGTGCTGAGGAATCGAACCCAGGGCCTCATGCATGCATGGCAAGCACTCTACCACTGAGCCACCTTCCCAGCCCCTGAAAAAAAAATATTTTTAAGTATAGAGTAAACTATGTAAAAATGATAACAGTAGTCATTTTAGAACAGAGCTGGTAGGTTTTTTTTTTTTTTTTTTCAGAAGTTCTTGAACATAGCTAGTATTGGTTTTAAAAAAAAAAGCCAGCTGGACTCCAGTGGCTTTTTATGCCTAGGATGCCTGTAATCTTAGCTAGTGAGAAGACTGAGATCTAAGGATGGTGATTCAAAGCTATCCCAGGCAGGAAACTCTGTGAGACTCTTTATCTTCAACTAACCACTAAAAAATCAGAAGTGGATCTGTGGCTCAAATTGTAAGCATTAGCCTTGAGCAAAAAAACTCAGGGATAGTGTCTAGGCCCTAACTTTAAGCCCCAGGGCTGGCACACACACACACAAAAGGCCATGGTGACAACAAATCTCCTTTTGTGCTTTATACATGTTTCTCTGAAGAATACAAGGGTTGTTTATAAGGATCAGCAGACGTTATGCCATTTCTGCTGCAAGAAGTAGTTAAAGATAGAAAGTAGAATCCTTCTCTTGATGTCTAAAGTACTTAGTCCCCTTGCCAGTGTCTACCACAGGTTAGGTATCTGATTGGGAAAACCACCCTAATGATTACTGAAAAAGTATGTCCTTTCAGTTTCCCTTCCCAATGTCAGTCATGTAAAGATGATACTAACCCTAGCTCCTAGGAAACCAAGTAATTATACTGTAAACCCACCACATTCACAGACTTATTACACATGGTTTTGACCAAGTGCTGTCAAAAAATAATTTTTAATCAAAGATACTTCAAATATAAATTTTTGAATTACCACAAATACATTATATAGCTCAGATGATGTAGAAAAGTTCTGTCAGACTCACATTATTGTCAGCTGTATTTAAATCATTGTGAGATTCACTGAGTGTTTCCCTGTCCTTAATTTTGTGAAAATATACCTCTCCCAAAAGCAAATACTACCCATAAAACAAGGTAACAGGGTAATTCTCCCAGTCCAAAAAGGACTTATAAGGGGCTTTACTTAACTGATAAAGTGAAAATTTTAGGTTTGTTGAAAAATGGCATGGCTTTAGCAGAAGATGAATGGCAGTATGGGAAAAGTGAGTCAAGCCACTACATTACAGAGCTCTATGAATCCTGAGCATATGCAGTTCTTGAGCAGTGATCTCCTTGGAACTGTATATATGTGGAGATAAAGGGTCTACTATGTCTCCTGCACAGCAATTGTTTTTAAAATTGGCTTAGAAGTTAAAGGAATCCTTCCATGCCAGTTGCTTATGAAGGTGCTGGGTTGTCCTCTGTGACCTGAGGCTAGAGAAGTTATTGACGCTCCATTCTTCAAGGTGAGGGCTGATTCTAATGTAGGTTACTGCCGTTTAGTAGCTCAAGTGACTGCCATGTCTATTAGTTATTTCCCCATTCCTCATGATGAGGAGTAGGGAGGAAGAGGATGTAAGAAAATGGGTCAGCAGGAAATTCTCTGTTGGATAAAAGAAACAAGTCACAAAAACAAAATGGTAGAGATAAGTCAGTATTGAAGATAGCATGCAAAGTCTTTGTTGAGGAAGAAGCATACAGGGTAGGAATGGGAGCCTGAGTTGGGCAGTCCTTGGCAGTGGAAGCAGGTGGATAAACTGGATATTTAAGGCAGGCATCAGTGTATATGTGAGCAGTGCTGGAGGAGCTATCTTGGTGGGTGAGAGGACTCTTCCCAGAGCCTGGTGATCGATAACCATGTTTATCTTCCAGGGTTGGCTGTGTTTGATTGCATTGGGCATGTCCTTCCTGGATTGTGGGCGCACGGTAAGCATCTCTAAAGCCCTGCTGACCGAAGACACCAACGGTGGCTGTGCTAAGTAAACACTGGATTGGTCTGTCTGTCCTCCGCACGGAGCCATCAGAGCCAGTGTGTTTCTATGGTTTACTGTGTGAACAAAGCCACAAGTATGTGCTGTTGCACACCCAGCAGTTAGGACTCAACTGCTAGTTGGGAAAGACTTTGTTTCATGTGTGTTCAAATGAAGTTCTTTTTTTTATTTTTCCTTTTCTTGATCTCCTAACTTGACAACTGAATTAGGTACAATTTTGAAAGCTGACATTTGCTGCTATTATTGCAACACTAATTTCTTAAGCCCAAGGCCAACTTGTTTGTCCTTCTGAGAGAGAATTTTCTGTGGATGATTCTTAATCAGACTGTATTTTTTTTAGAAATTGGAAAATGCAACACATTTTTCATAATACAAACTACAAATATTGTCATAACAGGTATGAAAGTTTTGTTTATCAAAAAGATAATGGAGTTTAAAAGCCTGAGAAACACTTTTATGGACACTTTCAATTATTTTAATTATAAAAAATACAAATTGAGTGGTTTCTTCTATATGGAGTAGAAAATTTAGAGACATAAACTGCCAGATGTGGTGGTGTAAACCTGTACTCTGTAACCTTTAATCTCAGCTACTTGGGAGGCAGAGACAGGAGGACTGCTGTGTAAGACCCAACAGGGAAAAAGTTAGTGAGACTCTCATCTCAAAAAAAGTAAACTTGGCATGGTTTCTTCCATATGAAATAGAAAATTAAGAGACATGAATCCTGAGGCCAGACATGGTGGTGTACACCTATAACCCTAGCTACTTGGGATGGAAAGACTAGAAAATTGCTGTTTAAGGCCAACTAGGGCAAAAGTTAATGAAACTCTCATCTTAAAAGAAAACAAACCAGCCCTGGGCACCAGTGGTTCGCACTTGTAATCCTAGCTACTCAGGATGCTGAGATCTGAGGATCATGGTCTGAAGCCAACCTGGGAAGAAAAGTCCCCCATGAAACTCTCTAATTAACCATTCAAAAACCAGAAGTGGTCCTATGGCTCAAGTGGTAGAATGCTAGCTTTGAGCACAAAGAGGCTCAGGGACAGCACCCAGGCCCTGAATTCAAGCCCTATAACTGACAAAAAAAAAAAAAAAGAAAGAAAGAAAAAAGAAAAAGAAAACAAAAAAAAAACCTTGGCATGTTGGTTCATGCTTGCAGTCCTAGCTTCTTGGGAAGCAGATGTAGGAGGATCATGGTCTGAATCTAGCCCAGGGCAAAAGGCCAAGGTTCTGAACACAAACCAAAAAAGCCAAAAGACTGGAGTGTGGCTCATGGAGTAGAGTGCTCATCTGTCAAGTACAAGACCTTGAGTTCAATTCTGCATACTACTAACAGAGAGACAGAGACCGAGAATCTGTTGGGCTCAGGATTTTTAAAATTTATTTCCACTTTCCCTATTTAGAGGGAATTGTTACTAATCATCTACCTACTGAAGGTATTTCTCAGAGACTGCAGTCCTGAGATTAGTAATAATCATATTAACAGAGAGATTTCCTGATGATATTTATTCTTGGTAGTAACAGATTTCCTGATTATATTTATTTTGTGGTGATAACAAAAGATGATAGCATTTATGAACTGATATTCTTGGGAGACCTTGGTGGTGTGGAGAAAGGTCTCAAAAGTGCAAGAAGAATCATCAATGTTATTCCTGAAATTAATCTCTCAGCAGAGTGTTTTTCTCACATATTACTCTTGATGGTGCCCAAGATGACTATCAGGTACTATAGACCTAATAGGAAGTACGCTCTCCTTGCTCTCACTCTCCTGCTTTTTCTCTTATCCTCTCCTCCTTTCCATAAGTCAGTAGGTGGCACTGTGGTTACAAAGACCCCTCTCAGCTAGGTGGGACTCTCCAGCTGTTCCCTAAGAGGGAAAATCTGATGCCAGAAGGCGGAGCTCTGGAGTACAGGAAAGGGTGTCTTCAGCTTGGAGCTTCAGCCACTTCTGACATTTTTACTTAGGTTGACACAGATTCTGTCAAGTCATTCACAGCTGTCAGGTGGACATAAATGAACAAAACTCCTTCCTGGCCATCATCTTGGTGAGAAAGGGAAAAGGAATGGCTTGAAGAACTTCTCATCTTTGGAGCTTTCCTTCCGGAGCGCTGTGTTATTGGTGTGCTCTGCTTATCTGGTCCCAGAGGCATTGTGACTGTTTTTTTTGCACACAGCCCAAGCACAACCTGGATGGACTGTCTTTTCGAAGGCATTCAGGATAAACTACTGTGTTTCACTCACTGTGAATTTACTTAGCCTCTCAATATCACACACAATTACAATTGTTCTACATGTTTCTCCTCATGGTGTTCCACTCCTCCCTCTTGTTTCCCAAACCCATCCTAAAGGTCCTGAAGATGGTCACAGGGTCTGATGTCATAAGCTTTGTTTGTAGGTACCAGTAGGTAAATATCAACTTGATATAACATATACATACACTAATTCCGTATAGAGATTCTGTACCTTTGCCCTTGTGTGGGTGGGTGCACATGTTTAGAAACATTTAGAAGCCCAGTCAAAAGCTGCTAATTTTTTTTTTCTGTGCCATCATGGAGATCAAACCATGCATTATGCCTAACGCATGCTGGGCAAGCACTCTACCACTGAGGTACAACCTGAGCCCTAGAATCCTTTAAAAATCACATTTATGGCTTAGAATGAAAAAATGTCTTCCCAGTTAAATGGCATTTTATAATTCTATGAGTGTAATATCTTACCATGTCAAAAACATTCCTTTATTCCCTTTGGGTCTTACAGAGGGAAAGTCCATCACAACAGTTCTCTGTACAATGTGTAAAATTTTGAGTCTTCCTACTGGCATGGTGGTTTATGCCTATAATCCTGGCACTCAGGAAGCTGAGCAGCATGATCCTGAGTTCCAGGCCAGCCTGAGATACAGAGCAACACTTCATCTCAAAAACAATGTTTTCAAAAGAAAAAAAAAGTCCCCCAATGCCAGTCTATACACTTGGCATATGTTACATTTTGGCAGTATGTTTGTGTGAAATGTTCAAGGATATACAATTGTACTTCTTGTAAATTGGTTCTTGTTCTCCTTAAATGTGACATGGAGTAACTGTTCTGCTACAGTGTCCTGGGAATTAACAGGGTTAGAGGAGCCTCAACTGGTTCCCACGAGGTCCTGCTAGGGGTGTCAGGAGTACTCACAATGGAGCTTTTAGTGAACATTTAAAATGTAAACTCAATTTGTAATTAAAATTTTTTTCTTTTTCCAATTTTGTTTCCTGGTTATTTTTTTGACCTTGAAAATACTTAGTAATAGGGTCTCAACGGCTTTGATAAGTAGATACCAAAATGTCACTTACCAACTAAAGATGCACACTGTGCTCACACTGTTAGTGTTTCAGTCCTTGAAGAGAGAGAAATAAGTTTACACATCACTCAGAGGCATGGTTTTAGTCCTTAATAGACTTTGGATTAGTTTCAAACACTAATTTTTGTTTTCCCACGGGCAGTGTTGTTGTAGCTGAATGTCACGTCATTACCAGAGTTCAACTTGAAACTTTATTCTGCCTTTTTTTACTCCATCTGAGTAGACATTCATCTTATATAACTGTATCTGAAGTCTTATTTCACCAGTCAGATAGGTTTGTACATTCTATCTTTGCTGTCAGAAAAAATATTCGAAGAGAAGAATCAAAATTGCTTAGCTTATGAACAAGTAAGCATTTGGCAGACATATGACATAAGTGGACATATTGTCACCTGTTATTAAATACAAGTGGAGAAACATAAGTCGGCCCTTAATTTATCCTGAGCAACATTAGTATTTTATTTTCCTTTTCTGCCCATATGCTTTCCTGCCTGTCTTAGGAGCAAAATACTATAATCCCCTAGAGTTTCTCCAAGTTGACTTTATTTAGCTCTTGTTAATTTTGTTTAAATTTTATAACTGAAATAGGATACAAAGCAACCTGAAGATCTGTATTTGAAACAGTTCTTCTAATTCTGTCCTTTGGAATGTATTCTCCTCTTTCACTGGTAGAGTCCGTGTTTGCCTTTCCCTTACAAATGTAAGAATATAAAAGTCATTTCTATGTGGTAGTCCTGGTCTGAGCACTTGTGCTGTCTCATTAGTCCTTCTAACAAGAGGCTCAGTCTCTATATTCATGAGGCATCTGAAGTGTCAAAAGTAACTGCCCTTATCACATTGCTGAAAGTGGGTTGGCAGTTGAACATGACTAGCTTAATATCAGAGCCCACATACTCATTTTCAAACTTTCCTGTGTAATATATAGTATATCTTTCATAATGAATAAGGTTACCAAGCTTGGTTCTTTAGTAGCACCAATAAACAACAGAACATTTAAGCCAGGCATGATGGTATGTGCAAGTAATCCTAGCATTGAGGGTAGAAGTGTTGCAAGTTTCATGCCAGCCTGGTCTAGATAGAAAAAACCCTATCTCAAAAAACAAACAAACAAAAATCCATAAGACAGAAAATGCTCTGGATAGTATTAGAATTTGCCTTTTATTTTTAATTACTTTTTTTTGTTGGTCTTGCTTGAATTCAGGGCCTGGGTGCTGTCTCTGAGGGGATTTTTTTGCTCAAGGTGCTAGTGCTCTACCACTTTGAGCCACAGTACCACGGTACCCCCAGTTTTCTGGGGACTAATTGGAGATGTGTCTCATGGACTTTACTGCCTGGACTGGCTTTGAACTGTTATCCTCAGATCTCAGCCTCCTGAGTAGCTAGGATTACAGGTATGAGTCACTGACTCCCAGCTAGAAGTTGCCTTTAAAATTGTATTATCTTTGGTAGCTTTAAGTTTGCTAGATTGGTACTCTACCACTACAGCCATGCTTCAGCCCTAGAAAATGTTTTAGCTAGTAGTTGCCCACAGACTTTGGTTTGTGCTTTTAGAAGGTAGAAAATGGGCACAGTTCTTCATGGTCCTACCTGGCAATCGCTAAGAGCTAGTATAGGTATACTGACTTGTATAAAGTCTCTGCTCCCCAAAATGTTTTAGCTTATTCCCGTGCCACTTAGCCACACATCAGTATCTCAGAACTACATGAAACCCTTCTCCAATGAAGGACTTCTACCTACTCATTTAACTAAGTGAAACATGGTGCCATAGAACTAGTAATGCAATTTTTGCTTACTCTGTAATGAGGAAGTCCACCATCTTTGCTTACACAGAAAAGGTTTTAATGAATTACCAGTGAGTCTAACAATGACTGATAGTCACTGGAGCCTGTAATCATAAGATCTTTTTTTTTTTTTTTTTCGGTCGTGGGCCTTGAACTCTGGTCATAAGATCTTAAAATGAAGAAGCAAGCTGGTCCAAAGAACCATTTCCTGGCCTTAATTAAAGCCAATTCCACCCCAGCATCTTCCTAGCCCACTGTTGGGAATGGTTTGGTCCTGAGCATCATCTGGTCTATGTCATCTTCACACATCTTTGCACATCATCACCACTTTCCTGAGAGGTCATACAGCTCATGCATAAGGTATTAAATATACTTATTGAAGAATAACAAGAGTTATTCTTCAAGTACTAGTGTACTTGGTCTTTCCCAACATAGTAATCATTCTCATTTTTCCACATAAGTAGAATAAGGATTCAAAGACACAGGACAGGATCGAGGTCATAGGAGATAGAGTTGTGTCTTAAACCCAACTCTATTGGAAACATCCCAATAGGGTACTTTTTACAGATGTATAATCTGCCTTCTGTCTTATAAGCTTTTGTTCTCAAAGGGCAAGAATATTCCTAAAGCTCTAGTTTATAACAAAGGGTAATTGTCCAAAGTTGTTATATTTAGGGGATAGAAAATAATAGAAACTTGTAACTTCACAATACTTCCGGCACACATTAAAGATAACTAAGGCAATTCTGATTCCATTTGGTAAACTTTGGGATCTGTAGATTGTCCTTCTTTTAGCATATTACCTTTCCTTTTGGGGGGTTTGAACTTGGTGTCTTCATTTGTTATGTGGGCACTATACTGCTGAGCCATGCCTCCAGCCTTGTTTTTTTTACTGGTTCCCTTTATGATAAGGTCTCACTTCCTGCCTTGATATGTGCCTTGACCATGATCATCTATTTTAGGTTTCCCATAGTTGATAGGATGATAGACTTGTGCCTTCATAGAGCTTCCCTCTTTTGAGCTGCAGTCTTAGGGACTTTTCTACTAGGCTAGCCTGAAAATGTGATCTTCAAAATCTCAATCTCCCATGGAGAATTCCCTCCACCCGCCCCCCTTCTCTCTCTCTCTCTCACACATACACACACACATACACACACACACACACACCACTGCACTCAACCATGGGTCTTGCAAACTTTTCTAGCCAGGCTTGAATTATAATCCTTGCATTCTCATGCTCCCAAGTAACTAGCATTATAGACATGCCACTGGGCTCAGCTATCTTTTCATTGTTTTTAATAGAAGTGTTTTTCTCTGTTCAGGTGCTGAAGAGTAAAAAGGCTAAAATTATAGAGCTCAGGATTTAGGCCATTTGAAATCTAATTAGGATAGTCACAGCACTGATTTTACTGACAGCTGTTGGTACTACCTCCATCCTTATTATGTCAGCTTTTATTACTTTTAATATTAGAATCCAGTGTTGTATGTTTAAGCCATTTCTTTTCTGAGATAAAAATAGAGCTGCACTTTAAAAAAGTCCTAAATTAATATGATTATAGGTATATAATATGTAATTATGTAATTAACATAATTATAGGTAAATAATATGATTATATGTATATAATCAATGTGTCCATCTCAATATCTTAACTATTTGAAAATCATCTATCTTTTATCTTTTTGTCCTTAGTACCATCTGGGATTGACAGCTCGGCCTGAACTCTACCTTCTGAATACCATGGATGCTGACTTACTTGTGTCTAGATGACGAACAGCCTGAGAGACTATCTATGAACACTTTCCCTAATCCCTTTTGTGCCATGTGTCTATTAGCATATCTCTGATAGTTCAGAGGTGAGTTTTGTTCAAGTATTTTGAACAAAGGCAATTTCCGTATGGGAACAGGGGTAAAAGCTGACAGCTCCAAGTGTAGGTCAGAGACCCACCCACCTTACACAGTCATTCAATGGCCAGAATTGGATGATTGGCCTTTGATGGCCACTCATTACTATAGGCTTCTTGACTTCTGGGATTTATAAAGTATATATGTATATGTGTGTGTGTGTGTGTGTATATATATATATATATATATATATATATATATATATATATATATATATACCTGAACATATCAGTTCAAGTAGAATTTTAAAGCTATCCAAAACTGATAGATTTTTTTTAAGTATTATTTAGGGAAATGAGATATTTTTGTCTGGATCAGAAGAAAGGAAAGGGAATAATATGTTTTTCCCTTTTGTCAAACTGACTATCTTTTAAAGTGGTACTTTACTCTGCCAGTTAAGTTTTATTTCACTGTCATGGACCAAGAGTACACCAAGATGTCTATTAGCACTAGCACATCATTTCTAAAGAAAACATATTTTCAATTTGATTATCATATTTAACCTAGGATATCAAACTTACTTTTTAACTATTGTTGTCATTGTGGTCTCTGTTCTTGAATTTTTTTCTAGCTTTTAAAAAGCAATATGATGGTATTTGTCAACTGGCTTACTAGGTAGTAAAAGATCCAGAAGCCATACTTGAACCAGTGATTTATTTTTTTATGCTATAATGTAACTCAGCCCAAAGAAAATATTAATAACATATAACTGTTATTAATAGCATGAGATAACAAAGGCACTAATCTTTTTAATGTTTTCATAATTCTACAATGTCTTTTCTTACCACTTTTCCCACTAACTGCAAATACCATTTTTAGATACTGACTCAGTTGCTAGGAGTGGCTCATATTTTTATTGTTTAATCTCCTAGGAAATGCCAAGCATTTCATTTTTAAGATATTTATACCAAATAGTATGAGATTAGTACTAGAGTGGAACTTAGAGCATTAGTCCACTTGTCACTAGCTGCTTGCCTGCTCTCTTTTTTTACCCCTGTTCCTAATCAGGATTTCTTTTCCCTTATACTTTTTGTAATGAAAAAAGTTCATATTTAAGAATTCAAATTGGACTGGAGGTGTAGCTCAGTTGTAGAGCACTTGCCTACCTTGTACAAGATCCTGTATTTGATTCCCTAGCAATTCAATAAAGACAAGTTTTTTTTCAGTAAGTAACTTTTTTTTTTTTTTTTGGTTGGTCCTGGGGCCTGAACTCTGGGCCTGGGCGCTGTCCCTCAGCTCTTCAGCTCAAGGCTAGCACTCCACCACGACAAGTTTTTTTTTCATAATTATCTGATTAAAGACTCAGAAGATTTGCAGCACCGGGCCCACATTTCTGCATGGAAGTCCAGTTTGCTGGAACTGAATCAATGTTGTGGGCAATACCCCTCCATATCCACAATTTCTTTTGGCTCCCAAGGTGTTGAGTCTGCAAACCCTGCAGCCTTTTTGTGGCTTTGAACATCACTTTCATCTTCACCACCAAAGGTAAATATCTGATCTCTCTGCCTTATTACAATACTTAAGTAACTCTTAATAATATATTAGCATATAAATATTATTAATATGTTAATTGAGAAATTGCTTAGCTTCATTTTTTAATGGTTTTGTCCTTTGAGTGGCAGGGAATTTTCCAAACAGATACTCATTCCTCAGTTGAGGAGCTCTTAAGATGTCAGATAAGCCAGGCACCCGATGGCTCACGCTTGTAATCCTAGCTACTCAGGAGGCTATATCTGGGGATCATGATTCAAAGCTAGTCGGGGCAAGAAAGTCTGTGAGACTCCTATTTCCAATAAACCACCAGAAAACCCTGAGCTGAAGAGTGCAGGGACAGCACCCAAGCCCAGAGTTCAAGCCCCACGACTGACCCAAAAAAAAAAAAAAAAAAATCGGATAAGAATACAACATGGAGGGTGGTCATGTGGTAGAGTGCCAGCCAATGAGTAAAAGCATCAGATAGAGTTCAAGCCCTGGTCTCAGACAAAAATAAACAAACAAACCTGACCTTGTAACCTAACTTAGAGACTTTCTGACCTTGGGCTGGGAAGGTGGCTCAGTGGTAGAATGCTTGCTTTGCATGCCTGAGGCCCTGGGTTCGATTCCTCAGCACCACATAAGCAAAAAGAAAAAAGCCGGAAGTGGCGCTGTGGCTCAAGTGGTAGAGTGCTAGCCTTGAGCTGAAGAGCTGAGGGACAGCGCCCAGGCCCAGAGTTCAGGCCCCACGACCGGACAAAAAAAAAAAAGAGAGACTTTCTGACCTTAAAACTGAAATAAAATAATAAAATTAATATAGGCCCCAGGAGCTGGTGGCTCATATCTGCAATCCTAACTACCCAGAAAGATCATGAGTTTAATGCCAGCCTGGGCTACTATTAGAACACTATCTTAAAAACAAAAAAACAAGCAGCAGCAGCCATCAAACACAGATGAAGAATAGGACATTGAAAAGACAATGTAATTAGTGGAAACATAACTGGTGGCCTGGGCATGATGAAAGACATGTGGGAGCTGTGAAATGGAGGTACAGAAAGGGCTAAGTACCACTCCAAATCAATCTCTGATCTGACCACCCAGAGCATATCCAGGTTCTTGATCTGGTTCCAAATCCTGAGTGTACAAACCAAGTACAGAACAAGTGAATATTGCTTTCCTAGTCCCTTCCTGCCAGCTAAATTTGCATAGGCTTCAGAATTATGAAATGTCTCCTCTGCCTTGTATCCAGATACTAAAACTTTCTACATTTAGCATGTATCAAATGGGTTTTTATAAAATTTCACAAGTTTCAGCTAGGTTTAATATTTATTAACCTCAAAGAGTCTATTATATCATAAAAATGGGGCATATGTAATGTACAAGCATGTAATTTAAGAATACCATATAGCTGGGTGCTGGTGGCTCACGCTTGTAATCCTAGCTACTAAAGAGGCTGAGTTCTGAGGATCACGGTTCAAAGCCAGCCTGGGCAGGAAAGTCTATGAGACTCTTAACTCCAATAAATGACCAGAAAACTAGAAGTGGCACTGTGCCTCAAGTGGTAGAGTACTAGCCTTGAGCTGAAAAGCTGAGGGACAGTGCCCAGGCCCAGAATTCAAGCCTCACAGCCAAAAACAAACAAACAAACTTGGAAGTGGTACTGTGGCTCCAAGTGGTAGAGTGCTAGCCTTGAGCAAAAAAGCTCAGGCACACCTAGGCCCTGAGTTCAAGTCCCATGAGCAACCAACAACAAAAAGAGTACCATATATACAGTAAGTCTAGATTAAACATTCAGAACCTTTATGGAATATTAAAAAAATGTTCTCTCAAAAAAAACCCAGTCACTTAATCCTTATCTAATATATGATATGCCATTCTGAATTTCTCTGTGAAGTATCCTTATGCATTATAATTTTCCTGTTTCTATAACAAAATACCTGAGGCAGGTTGCTCTATTAGAAGAGATATTTTTAGCTGACAGTTCTGGAGGATTGGATACATGGTGCCACAAATTTCCATCTCTAATGAGAGCACTTTGGCTATGTCAGATGGTGAGTTGCATCAAGGTGGGGACACAGGCAAGATGGAGAGATCACAAGGACCTAAGTACAATTGTACCAAGAATACATTTCAGTCCGGGCACCAGTGACTCATACCTGTAATCCTAGCTACTAAGAAGTCTGAGATCTGAGAATTGTGGTTCAAAGCCAGCCCAGACAGGAAAGTCTGTGAGACTTTTATCTCCAGTTAACCACCATAACAGCCAGAATGGAGCTGTGGCTCAACTGATAGAAGGCTAGCTTTGAGCAAAAAAGCTCAGAGACTAGTGCTCACAACACACACACACACACACACACACACAAGGTTTTCAGACATTAGAGCACTAAAGCTTTTGCCCAGGAAGTGTTTTGCAAACACAGGTATTATATAGTATCTGTTTGTAGAGTCTTCCCACAGTGACCCTCCCATCAATCCAAGCTGAAGTAGAAAAATGAACATTATTCTCAACTTTTCTCCAAATGTGAGTTCTACAACATGGTTTAAACAGTTCGTAAGATTTCATGCATAGCTGCTTTTAATTAATAAATACTTGTCATTACTTTTCTTTTTGTTGTTGTTGTTGTTTTGTTTTTGTTTTTTGTCAGTTGTGGGGTTTGAACTCAGCCTGAGCGCTATCCTTCAACTCTTCAGCTCAAGGCTAGCCCTCTACCAGTTGAGCCACAGCACCACTTCCTTGTCATTACTTTTCTAAGTAAAACAAATGTATTATTTTCATTTACTTGGTAGCATTATAATATTAGAGAGCCTGTTGGATTTTGTAACAAAAATCACTCTCTGTTCAGTGTCTGATGCAAGATGAGGCCAGCCTGGGCAACATAGTGAAAACTTGTACTTGGAAATCTTTTTTTTTGGTCAGGTCATTGGGCCTGAACTCTGGGCCTGGACGCTGTCCCTCAGCTCTTTGGAAATCATTTTAAAAATACTTTTAAAGGGGCGGGGTTTAAAAAAATACTTTTAAAATATTTAAGCCAAGCACTGGTGGCTTATACCTATAATCCTAGCTACTCAGGAGGCTGAGATCTGAGGATCACAGTTTGAAGCTAGCCTGAGTAGGAAAATCTGTGAGACTCCTGTCTCCAATAAACTAATCAAAAAAAGCCAGAAGTGGGGCTTTGGCTCAAGTCGTAGAGCACTAGTCTTGAACACAGAGAAGCTAAGGGACAGAGCCCAGGACCTAAGTTCAAGCCCCAGGACTTGAAAAAAAAATTAAATCTAGGCAGCAATGTCTGTCAGACTCTTATCTCCACTTAAACAGGAAAAATCCACAACTAGAGTTGTGCTTCAACTAGTAAAGCAAGAAAGTTGAGTAAAAAAGCCAAGGAAACTGGGTGCCAGTAGCTCATACCTGTAATCCTAGCTATTCAGGAGGCTGAGATCTGAGGATCACGGTTTGAAGCAGCTTGGGTAAGAAAGTCCATGAGACTCTTATCTCCAATTAACCACCAAAAAGACAAAGTGGAACTGTGACTCAAGTGGTAGAGCTTTGAGGAGAAAAACAAACTTAACTAAGGAGGAGTGCCAGGCCCTGAGTTCAAGCCCAAGGCAAGACTGGCACAAAAAAAAAAAAAAAAAGCAAGAGCACAAGACGCTGAATTCCAGCCCCAGTACTGGCTTCTATAATAAAGTACACTTAATCTGTTTTACATGCTGAACATATAGTGAGAGCAGTATCTTGCCAGTAGCTGCGTTAGAAATGCCTTTTTTTTTTTAGGGCTGAGACTCTTGTGCAGTAGTAGAGCACTTACCTACATGCTCTTTATTCCATCCACAGTACTGCAATAAAAGAAAAAGTCAGGAAAAAAAGTATCTAGAAGAACTGTCAGCCTAGTTTGGTGGCTCACACCTGTAATACTAGGTATTTGGTAGCTGCAAGGCAGATGGAGCAAAAAGTTCACAAGACCTCTTCTCAATAAATAGCTGGGTGTATTATTATGAACCTGTTATACCAGCTATGATAGGAAATATAAAATAGGAGACTTGTGGTCCAGGTACATACCTGGCTAAAAAGACTGTCAAAATAACCCATGCGAAAAAGTTCTGGAGGCATGGCTCAATAGTGGAATGCCTACCTAAAACCCACTACCAAAATAAAGAAGGAATGTTTCTTAGCCAACTGCTGTGGATTTGGAAGTCAACTTCTTAAACATTTGAGACTTAATACAAAACCTAGGAGAGTTCTGTGTAATACTTCTTCAGTATAGTTTGCTACACACTGAAAATTCATTCTTCATAGGATTGCCGGAAGCTCTTGTCTTTCTTGCTTCCAGCCTATAGCTTCATTTTTTGGACACATTGAAGAATCGAGGTCTAATGTAATCCTTATACATAGAATAGAGAACACCTAGAAGTAGAAAAACATACATTACTTAGAGTGTCCATGGGAAATAAACACTGGATTTCTTGCATTGTACTTTTCTGAAATTAACCTACAACTTACAAACAAAACCTTCTCTTACCAACTTATGACTTCTCTACCAATTCAAGTGGCTTGTAGAAACAACTCTGAAGAGTCATCTAAGGTGAATATGAAGCTGGGCGCTGGTGGCCCATGCCTGTAATCCTAGCTACCCAGGAGGCTGAAATCTGATTGTCAGCCTGAGCTGGAAAGTCCATGAGACATATCTCCAGTTACTCACTAGAAAACGGAAGTGCAGCTGTGGCTGAAAGTGGTAGAGGGACAGCCTTAAGCACAAAAGTTCAGGGACAATGCCAAGGCATCAAGTTCAAGCCCCATGATCAACAACAAAGAAGATAATCAGAGTCCTGAATAAGCTCGTTACTACGCCACCTCAAATTTGAATTTTAAAGTGTTGGGAAAAATAAAAAGAAACTGGGCAAATTTGGCTCAATTTAAGATAAAAAATAATAAGTATCACTTAATTTAGCTTGTCTGCTTGTGCACAATGTCTCAAGAGAAACATGTGAATGGATCTAACCCCTGTTTTAGGGCTCTACAGTATAGTGGGCGAATTAGCTGTGGGTTTAGGCAGTGTGGCTTCCATGAGGTCCTGGGTCCATGGTGACAGAGAAGCAGACAAGTGAAGTTCACTGGGGAAGGAGGGAAGTGTTTCCATGAATTCCTGGGATGTCAGCAAATCTTCACATCTAAAAGCAAGTTGGACTCCAAGATTTAAACTCCAAGTGATAGCCCCCTTTCAATCCCCTTGCTATCTCCATGATCAAAATATCAAATCCTAGTTATCTAAACGAACTCTTCACTTTCCTTTCAATTTTCTTCTGAGACTTCTCATTACTGTCTTTATAGAGTTCATAGAATCTAATGTTAAGAAGTTCTTGTGTCTCCAAAGGATAACAAATTGATGCATACTTCTCTAGTGAAATATTATTATAACTAGAGTTAATGCATAAAATTCAAACCAAAACAATTTTGTTTTTAGCCTGAATCATTGTATGTGTGGAAGGAACATTCTCAGATTCTGAAGGAATCTTGGAATAATTTCCTTGTCCCTTCTCTGTCCTTATTGGACAGAGATAGTTACTGCAACACCTAAATATTGGTGTTTTCTAAAGTACCTAATTCACACCTGCTGCTTCACTGCTAACCCAGTTAAATTTCTTTTTTTTTTTTTTTTTTTTTTGGGTCCGGTCATGGGGCCTGAACTCTGGGCCTGGGCGCTGTCCCTCAGCTCTTCAGCTCAAAGCTAGTGCTCTACCACTTGAACTACAGCGCCACTTCCGGCTTTTTTCTTTTTGCTTATGTGGTGCTGAGGAATCGAACCCAGGGCCTCTGGTATGCAAGGCAAATGCTCTACCACTGAGCCACCTACCCAGCCCACCCAGTTAAATTTCTAAGTTAGATTTCCTCCATCATTGTACGTAAGACCCTTCCACATCCCAAAGATAGGTAATACTCAAGCTTTTAAATTGTACGTAAGTGGTCAGAAGTGATGGTGTATGCCTATAATCCCAGCCATTTGGGATATGTAGGCAGGATGATAGTGAGTTTAAGGCCAATTTGGACAAAATTTAGGGAGACCATGGGCTGGAAAGGTTGCTCAGTGGTAGAGCGCTTGCCTTGCATGCCTGAGACCTTGGGTTCGATTCCTCAGCACCACATTAGCAAAAAGAAAAAAGCCGGAAGTGGTGCTGTGGCTCAAATGGTAGAGCGCTAGCCTTGAGCTGAAGAGCTGAGGGACAGCACTCAGGACCAGAATTCAGGCCCCACAACCGGACCCCCAAAAAAAAGAAAGAAAAGAAACTAGAAAACACATCTTAGGTTTAATGCCTAGAACTGAAAAAAATAAAAACAACCATACATGCCCTTGAAATGTGCACTTAAACAATATAACTGTAGTCTGTTTTTGAGTACAGTTTTCCTCCACTTCTGAAAGCTTTTCTTGTTTTTTTTTCTTTTCTCTCTCTTTTTTTCTTTTGTCGGTTGTGGGGCTTGAACTCTGGGCCTAGGCACTGTCCCTCAGCTCTTCAGCTCAAGGCTAGCACTCTACCACTTGAGCCACTGGGCCACTTCCAGTTTTCTGAGTCGTTTATTGGAGATAAGAGTCTCATAGAGGGGCTGGGAAGGTAGCTCAGTGGTAGAGTGCTTACCTTGCATGCATGAGGCCCTGGGTTCGATTTTTCAGCACCACATGAGCAGAAAAAGCCGTAAGTGGCACTGCAGCTCAAGAGGTAGAGTGCTAGCCTTGAGCTTAAGAGCTGAGGGACAGCACCCAGGCCTAGAGTTCAGGCCCTATGACCAACAAAAAATAAAAAGAGTCTCACAGACTTTCCTGCCCAGGCTGGCTTTGAACCGAGATCCTCAGATATCAGCCTACTGAGTGGTAGGATTACAGGCATGAGCCACCGGCACCTGGCTTTTAATTTTTCTTTATTAATTAAACATTTAAGACTGGATCTGGTTAAATATCCCAGGTAGCTCCATTTCCAGATATATTTTAGTGGCTAAAAGGAGATAAAACAGTTCATGGACTTTCCTGCCCAGGCTGGCTTCTAATAGCTGTCCTCCCATTTCAGCCTCCTGAGTAGCAAGGATTACAGGCATGAGCCACCAGCTCTGCTTCGCTTTAATACTACATCTTTATGAAGTATGCATTTCACTTGTGTTGTTATCCTCCATTCACATGATACAACCTTGTATGAGATTTCCAGAGTATCAGCCTCATGGCAGTGAGGGTTAGGAGTGTCTTCTTGGACACTAGAGATTTTAGGCCTCTCCCAGAACTCTGTATTAGGAATTAAGAGCCCTGAGTTAATTATTTTCTTTTCACAACTTCTAGCATGCTCAGAAATAATTAAACTCATTCTACTTAATTCTACTTAAATGTTCAATGGCAGTAACTACCATAGGCTGGCTTTCTCTAAGTACTTGATTCAAATACTGAATTTTTTTTATTATTTTTAAGTAGTTCTACAAAGAAGTTCCCATTCTACAAAACAGTATATGAATACAAAGTGTCTGACATTGTCACCCATCACTCCTAACCCATCCCTTCTCAGAGAGGTGATACTTTAAGATATTGCATGTTATGGCCTGCTTCTAGCATCCTATAATGGAAGAAGTTCATTAATGCCTTTAAATCTAATCAAATCAAAGACTTGAACCTATCTTCAGGGCTCTGGCAGCTCTTGCAAAATACTTTTAGGATCATCCAAGTCTCAGTCAGAAAAGAAAAACTACCAGTGGTCAAATATAAACAAGAGCTTATTGTAGAGAAAGGACATTCAGTAACGTTGGGAGCTGGGTAAACTGTCTGTGTGAAGCTGTTGCTTATGTTTCTAATCCTGGTCCTCAAGGCAATAGTGAGGAAGGAAATATAAACTGGAATCTGCAGGAATATGCTGGAACTCAAGAAAACATTCTCCCGTCCGGCACTGATGACTCACGTCTGCTACTCAGGAGGCTGAGATCTAGGATTGTGGTTCAAAGCCAGCCCAGACAGTAAAGTCTAAGAAATTCTTCTCTCCAATAAACCAACAGAAAACCAGATGTGGAACTATGACTCAAAGTGGTAGAACACTAGCCCTAAGCGAAAAATGTCAGGGACAGCACCCAGACCCTGAGTTCATGCCCCGTGACTGACAAAAACAACAACAAAAAAAACAACAGAAAAAAAAAAACAACCATCTCCCTATCCTGTCATGGGAGACAAGGAGAAAACCACAGCTGGCCTCGGAGTAAGATAAGCTGAAAAGGCAGTGGGCCTGGCTGCTGCCCAGCAAAAGGGAGCTGAGCCAGCCAAAAAAAAAATCAGAGTGTGTACAAGCTGTAACAGAACCTGATGCCCCGCATGTCAGCCTTCAAGATGTAAAAAGAATATTGCAGCTGCTACGTCCATGCTCATATTCCAAATCTTTTAGAACATGAGCCAAGCTAACCAAGAACTATGCAGGGAAGGGGATTTAGGGAAGCATAATAATTATACCTTAGAGCCAGGCACAGGTGGCTCACACCTGTAAACCTAGCTACTCAGGAAGCTGAGATCTGAGGACCATGATTCAAAGCCAGCCAAGCAGGAAAGTCAGTGAGACTCTTATCTCCAATTAACCACCAAACCAGAAGTGACACTGTGACTCAAAGTGGTAGAGCACTAGCCTTGAGCAAAAGAGCTCAGGAACAGCTCCCAGGTCCTGAGTTCAAGCCCCACAAATGACAAAAATAAAAAAAATAAAAATCACACCTTAGATAAGCTGATACAAAACCAGATGCTTATGGGAGTTTAAAGGCTATGAGCTGAAAGGTACAAGATAAAAGGGGGAGGTAAAATGTTTAAATACAGAAGACACATAGGAAAGGAATCTACTGCCGGGCACTAGTGGCTCATGCCTGTAATCCTAGCTACTCAGGAGGCTGAGATCTGAGGATCACAGTTCAAAGTCAGCCTGGGCAAGAAAGTCCATGAGACTCTTATCTCCAATAAACCACTAGAAAACCAGAAGTAGTGCTGTGGCTCGAGTGGTAGAGTGCTAGTTTGAGCTGAAGAGCTGAGGGACAGCACCCAGGCCCAGAGTTCAAGCTCCATGACCAACCAAAAAAGAAAAAGAATCTATTTTACAGAACGGTCAGAACCAGGTAATACAAAACTTTTTGAGGGGCTGGAAGTTGGCTTAGTGGTTGAGTGCTTGCCTGGCATGCATGAGGCCCTGGGTTCGATTCCTCAGCACCACATAAGCAGAAAAAGCTGGAAGTGGCGCTGTGGCTGAGCTGAAGAGCTGAGAGACAGCATCCACAACGGACCAAAAAAAAAAAAAAAACTTTTTGAGATAAACAGATGTTTACCTAGAAAGACAGGAAGAAAATAATTATAAAATCCAGATTAGCAGTTACCTGTGAAAACGAGGGGGCTATAGTTAGCAAAGATTTCTGTAATATTCTATCTCTGGACATAATCTTGGGTGTTCATTCTACAATGAGTTGATAATCTGGTCATTTAAGTCTTATATGCTATTCTCTAAATACATATTTCATCAAGAAAACATGTTAAAAGGGCTGGGTATGGTGGTGTGGACCTATACTCCCCAGCAAACAGGAGGCTGAGGCAGACCCTATCTCAAAACAAACAGCCAGCCAGGCATTGGTGATTATGCCTGTTAATCCTAAATACTTGTGAGGCTAACATTATCAGGATCACAGTTCAAAGTCAACCTGGGCAGAAAAAAAATTTCAAAAGATACTTTCTCAAGAAAGAGCTGGATGAGTCGGTGCATTCCTGTTATCCTAGCTGCCAGGAAATTTAACATAGATGTGATAACTACACAAGTGCTTAGGCAAAAGTGAGATCCTACCTTAAAAATAAAGAGAAAAGGGCTGGGAAGGTGGCTCAGTGGTAGAGTGCTTGCCTCGCATACATGAGGCCCTGGGTTCAATTCCTCAGTACCATGTAAACAGAAAAAGCCAGAAGTGGTGCTGTGGCTCAAGTGGTAGAGCACTAGCCTTGAGCTGAAGAGCTCAGGGACAGTGCTCAGGCCCAGAGTTCAAGCCCCATGACTGACAAAAAAAAGAAAAGAAAAGAAAAAAAATGAGGCTTGGCTCAGAGGTTAGAGTACCTGCCTAACAAACAAAACAAACCAAACAGAAACTATATATACATAATTATTAATATATAAAATATAGTTAGATATATTAAACCAAACCAACAAAACAGAAACTATATATATTATATTGATATAGTTATATTTAGGAATATACATAAAGGAAAAAGAAAAGGCTAGTGATAATTTGCAAAGGAGAAAAAAAACCCATAAAGACAGAAAAACCAATTATGCAATGCATTTGGATCTCAACTAAGTAACTGGCATTGGAAATAGAGAAGAATGGACTCCAGAAACATTGAGGACTTGGCTACCAAGTCCTGGGGAAAGTAAAGGGAATCGAAGAGGAGTCCTAAGTTTATAGTTTGTACAGATGGAAGGTTTTGCCTTTCACTAACATAGAGAAAGAAGATCAAAGAGTAGGTTTGGTTGGGAGGATGAATATTTAGTAGACAAAACCACGGTAGCTAACGTTTGATAAGTACTCTTGTGAGCCAGCCACATTCACTGTTTTACAAAAGAGCTATTTAGACAACATCTTGTAGACCAGAATACAGTGCAACACTGACTCTAAGCATCTGGAGCTGCACACATCAGGTTCCCAGGTTTCAGAGATGGTACCTGCCTCACTGCCCTCACCTCAGATGCAACTGTACTCTGAGTAGTCCCACTCCTGTAGCATCAAGAGATTCTTGAAAAATAGAGGCACTATTGCTCTGGAAATTCCAGATGTTTTAGAAGTTCCATATCAGATTCTCGGGACATAGCTTTTATTATATACCAATATACCAAATCTACCCTCTGAGATAAAAACTTTTCCCTGCCCCCTCCACCTTGTTTTTTTGGTGCTGGTCCTGGTGATTTGAACTCAGGACCTGGGCACTTGTCCCTGAGCTTTTTTTTTTTCTCTCTCAACACTAGTACTGTACCACTTGAGCCACAGCTCCACTTCCAGCTTTTGGGGGGCTTAATTGGCCCAGCACCCATGGCTCATGCAGTCCTTAGATCTCATCCCTTGAAAAGCTAGGGTTACAAGCATAAGCCACTGATACCTGACCTGTTTTCCATTTTATAGATTAGAAAACTGAGACTCCGGGAGTAAATCAATCTTTCTTTCTTTCTTTCTTCCTTTCTCTCTCTCTCTTTTTCTTTCTTTCTGTCTGTCTGTCTGTCTTTCTGTCTTTCTTTCTTTTCTTTCTCTCTCTCTCTTTCTTCCTTCCTTCATTCCTTCGTTCCTCCCTTCCTTCTTCCCTCCCTTCCTTCTTTCCTTCCTTTCTCTCCTTTCTTTGTCTATCTCTCTTTTTGTGCATTGACAAGGCCAATCTCTTTAGGCTTGATTTCCTTTTTTTGTTGTTGTTGGTTGTGGGGCCTGAATTCAGAGCCTGGGAACTGTTCCTGAGCTCTTTTGCTCAAGGCTAGCACACTACCACTTTGAGTCACAGCTCCACTTCTGGTTTTCTGGTTGTTAACTGGAGATAAGAGTCTCGTGGACTTTACTGCCTGGGCTGGCTTTGAACCACAATCCTCAGATCTCAGCTTCCTGAGTAGCTAGGATTACAGGCATGAGCCACCAGTGCCAGACGGGAGAATGTTTTCTTGAGATCCAGCATATTCCTGATCCAGTTTATATTTTCTTCCTCACTATTGCTTTGAGGACCAGGATTAGAAACATAAGCAACAGCTTCACACGGACAGCTTACTCAGCTCCCAACATTACTGAATGTCCTATCTCTACAATAAGCTCTTGTTTATATTTGACCACTGGTAGTTTTTCTTTTCTGACTGAGACTTGGATGATCCTAAAAGTATTTTGCAAGAGCTGCCAGAGCCCTGAAGATAGGTTTTCTGAACAGTTCTGGGATATGTGGGTTTAAATCTTTGATTTGGTTACATTTAAAGGCATTAATGAACTTCTTCCATGATGGGATGCTAGAAAAAGGCCATGACATGCAATGTCAACACTTTCCTAACTGTTTTTTTTTTTTTGATTTGTTGGTTATGTGGCTTGAACTCAGGCCTGGAGGCTGTCCCTGAGCTGTTATGCCCAAAGGTAGTGCTCTATCACTTTGAGCCACAGCTCCACTTCCTGTGTTCTGCTTGTTAATTAGAGATAAGTCTCTTGTACTTTCCTGCCTGGGCTGGCTTTGAACCACGATCCTCCTAAGTAACTAGGATTACAGGAGTGAGCTACCAGTGCCTGTCTCACTTTCTTAAATTATCACCTTTCAATACTTGAATCAAGTACTTCTAAGCCAGTTTATGAGTTATCTGGTAGCTACTGCCATAGAACATTTAGTAGAAGTAAGCCATAGAATGAGTTTAGTTATTTAGAAAATAATAAGCTCAGGGCTCTTAATTCCTAACTCAAAGCTCTGGGAGGGGCCTAAAAGCTCTGAGTGTCCAAGAAGACACTCCTAACCCTCACTGCCATGAGGCTGATACTGTGGAAATCTCATACAAGGTTGTATCCTGTGAACGGAGGATAACAACACAAGTGAAATGCATACTTCATAAAGATGTAGTATTAAAGTGAAGCAGAGCTGGTGGCTCATGCCTGTAATCCTTGCTACTCAGGAGGCTGAAATGGGAGGACAGCTATTAGAAGCCAGCCTGGGCAGGAAAGTCCATGACACTGTTTTATCTCCTTTTAGCCACTAAAATGATTCTGAAGTGGAGCTGTGACTCAAGTCACAGCCCTGAGAGAAAAAACTAAGAGACATTGCTGACACCTTTAGTTTGAGTCCCAGCACTGGCACATACATACATACATACATACATACATACATACATATATACATACATACATACATATATGAGGACTGTTACTTTGGAGTAATGTTTCTTGTACTTGGTTCAAAATCCTCATAGTGCAGTTTATAATAAAATGACCTTACGTAAGTTCCTGTTCCTAAGCCCTATGCCCTTCATGGAATGATCTGTGACCTAGCTGTAGGCCCACTGTACTCTGACCAGAGGACATTGTAACTTTTCTCATTAATACAGACAACAAAAAATTGGATAATTTACCCCCCAAGTTGTCTTCTTGTTATGTCCATACAGTTGGATAGCTAGCAAATTTAACTTTGGTTAACTAATTAGCCACAACACTTTTATACCTTTTCTTTGGATTTGACTATGTAGGTCTTAATTTATTAATTAATGTTAAAAAGATTTACCTATTGCTCATATTTGTGAACAGTTTTCAGTTAGCAATAATTGCACCTTAGTAAACCTCACTGGCTATGAATCTGCCACTGTGCAAAGCATCAAACTCAACAAGTCTGTTTAAATTTGTGACCTTCTGAACATGTTTTTCCCAGTTAAACTACAGCTGCTATTCAAATAGGCTGAAAATTTAGAGGCTGTAATTTTTTTTTTGCCAGTCCAGGGGCTTGAACTCAGGGCCTGGGCTGTCCCTGAACTTCTTTTGTTCAAGGCTAGCCCTCTACCACTTGAGCCACAGCACTGATTCCAGCTTTTTCTGTTTCTGTGGTGCCTAGGAATTGAACCCAGGGCTTCATGCATGCTAGGCAAGCACTCTACCACTAAGCCACATTCCCAGCCCATGGAAATTTAGCTACTGCTCTCAGTGAGTTTTATAGATGAGGTAGCCTCCCTCCCTCCCGCTTTCCCTCCCTTTCTCTTCCTTTCCTCCTTCTTTCCTTCCTTCCCTTGTTGTTGTTTCCCCCAATACTGGTAATTAAACCCAGGGCCTTAAACTTTGTAGGCAAGTACAGTATGCCCATTCTTGTTTTGTTTTTAGTTTGTGTTTGAGATAGTGTCTTGCCAACTTTACCAGGGTTGACCTTGAACCTGAGATCCTAGGTTGCTGGGTTTACAGACATATGCAACTGTGCCCTCCACTACTGTTATTATAGAGGATAACCACACATTTTCTTTTTTTTTTTTGGTCCGGTCATGGGGCCTGAACTCTGGGCCTGGGCGCTGTCCCTCAGCTCTTCAGCTCAAGGCTAGCGCTCTACCACTTGAGCCACAGCACCACTTCTGGCTTTTTTCTTTCTGCTTATGTGGTGCTGAGGAATCAAACCCAGGGCCTCGAGCATGCAAGGCAAGCGCTCTACCACTGAGCCAACTTCCCAGCCCTATAACCACACATTTTCTAGTTCACTAATGGGACCATGTTCATTCTTACCAGGTTTTTCTTTTTTTCTTTTTTCTTTTTTTGTGTTGATCATGGGGCCTGAACTCTGGGCCTGGGTGCTGTCCTTCAGCTCTTCAGCTGTAGACTAGTGCTCTACCACTTGAGCCTAAGCCCTACTTCCGGCTTTTTCTGCTTATGTGGTGCTGAGGAATCGAACCCAGGGCCTCATGTATGCAAGGCAAGCACTCTACCACTGAGCCACCTTCCCAGCCCCACCAGGTTTTTTTTTATGTGTTTATCTTTAATTATCTTAAGTCCTATGGCCACATAATTTACAAATTGTCTCCTCTACTTGAATCATTTTTCTCTAGGAAATTGGCAAAAGGCATCACTATCAAACATACATACATAGTAGTTGCACAATTTTGTTTCCAAATAGCTGCTTAAAGACAATCCTGAATTATAACCTAGTCTATCTTAGTAAAGAATTAAAAAATCAAGTTGCTATTTTATCTATCATGGCCACTTTTAAAAGCATCTGAACTTACAGATCAACTATAAAATGTGGGAAGTATTAAATATTCTTTATTTGACATTTATACATAAGCCACAATAAATACCTTTCAATAAAATATTTTAGACACAGGGAATTCTAATTAAATAGGCTTAGTTAAAACCAAAAATATAGACATTGCTTCCTCATCATCAACCATTGCCTTTAACAGGTTAATGATCATAAATTAAAATGAGTTAATCTTACTTGTTTCTGAGACAGTGAAGAGATTTCCCCAGTATTTAAAGATGTTCTTATAATTAGCTATATAAATCTCAATATAAAACCAATCGGAGATGCTATTATTCTCTATTTTGCTGAAATATTGACCATTACTAAGTCCAATCATATCACAGAAGGAGCAAACAATGACAGTATTCTTTTTGTAAGATTATATTCACTTAACCACAAGCCAGTTTCACTTAAATCAGAACCTTCCAAAAATATGCTGTCAGCCATTCATGATCTGAATTCTGATGTTAGAGATCAATTAAATTATAGTACACATTAGAAAGTCATGAAAGATTTATTTTGCAATAAATAAATAAGGCAGTGGCTATTACTCGTAGCTTTTTTGAGATAAGCTATCAAATCTGCCCTTTCTCTCTTCTTAATCTCAGTGAAGATCATTTTTGTTCCAGAGACATATTTTTGGGATTTGGAGATAAGTGTCTCATAGACTTTCCTACCTGTGCTGGCTTGGAACCACAATCCTCAGATCTCAGACTACTGAGTAGCTGGGATTGCGGGTGTGAGCCACTGGCATCTGCATGAGCCATTGATGCCTGGTAACCATGATATTATCTTAACACAATATGAATCTGCTATTGTGGATGAACAGAGTAAGCATGAATACTCTGAAAAACAGATGAACATAAGAGACAAATTAAACAGGTTACCTAGAGTCACAGCTCCTACAGCAAATCCTTGGGCAGCAACTCGCATGTGAATTAGATGAATGGATACTTTCTCATCTCTTTTGTACTTTAACTTGTAAAGCCCATATGACACCACAGTCACAAAACCTGCTAGACCTGTGAATTTTAAAGGTATAAGTTAGGTAAATAGCAAGCAAGAATTCCCATTAGAGAGTTAAACAAAAGACTCTAAAAGAGGAGTGCCTAGAAGACAAGCAGGCAAGACACAAGTTGGGTAACTCTTATCTGAAATGCTTGGTACCTGAAAATATTTTCAGAGTTTGGAATACCTGTATATACATAAGGAGTGCATGAGGATGGGACCCAAGTCTAATCATGAGATTCATATATACCTTATTGTAGAGACTGAGTTAATTTTATACCATATTTTTAGTATACTTGTGTTTTGACTGATTTGTCACTTGAGGACAAGGGTGGAATTTTCTTCTTGGAGGGCATCGTTTGGCTTATGAACAGGTATGAAGAAGTCCAGAAGGAGATCCTGAGGCCAGAGCACATCACAGAGTTCAGTCGACCAAGCAGAGAAAGAAAGAGAGAGAGAGTGGGGGAGAGAGGGAGGGAGGAAGGGAGGAGAAAGAAAGAAAGGAGAGAGAGAGAGAAAAGAGAAGAAAAGAGACACAGAGAATCTCCTAGAAGGTATAGGGATGGGCAGAAAGAAGGAGGAGAATCAGAATTGTCTGGACAAGATGACTCTGGCACAGGCGGCCAGAAAAACACTTTGGACACACTTTGAAAACACTCGGACAAGTGGTAAATGGAAAGGATCTGGAAGTGAGCATGGAATGGAGGACTCAACAGATACCTGGACATGCACACAGAGCCCACAACATCCCAAAGTGTGCTGTATCAAGTCCTCCCTACTCCGGACTGTGGGGGAGTAAGGGAAGCTCTGCTCCCCTGTGAGATGTCTGCTCAGACTGTGTTCTCCAAAACTAAACCTGATTAAAAATCAAGACTGGGCTGGGAAGGTGGCTTAGTGGTTGAGTGCTTGCCTCGCATGCATGAGGCCCTGGGTTCGATTCCTCAGTATCACATAAGCAGAAAAAGCCAGAAGTGGGTGTTGTGGCCCACGTGGTAGAGTGCTAGCCTTGAACTGAAGATCTGAGGGACAGCACCCAGGCCCAGAGTTCAAGCCCCACAACTGGCAATAAAAAAAAAAAGAAAGAAATCAAGATTGATATTTAACTAGGTCATGCTAGAAGGGAGGCTTGTTTCGTTTGGAGAAAATTTGTGGTTTATCCAGAGGATAAGGTCATTTTTAGGTAAGTGCCATGGAAAGAAGACCTTCTCAACCAGGTACAGGTGTCTCACACTTGTAATCCTAAGAAATCAGGAGGCTGAGATCAAAGGACCACTGTCTTATAGTTTGAAGCCAGCCCAGGCAGGAAAGTCTGTGAGACTCTTATCTCCAATAAACTACTCAGAAAAAGCCAAAAGTAGTACTGTGGCTCAAATGGTAGAGTACTAGCGTTGAGAAAAAGAAGCTCAGGGACAGCACCCAGGCCTTGAATTCAAGCCATAGGATTGGCACACACACAAAAAGTCTTTCTTTAACTTGCCTCTAATACTCAGGTCCAGTCAGTTTATCCAGACCTTCAGACAAGGCACAGTTCAGAAGATAAGAAACTTATACCAGCAGAGCCTATAAACTGCAGATCAGATCCCCCATGCGCTGCCCTGACCTGCCTATAGCTTGGACTTTCATTTTTCCATTCAGGTTCTGGGAAGCCACTTGGTGCTATGTGGCCTTCAAGATGCCTCTCAAACACCTGGTCAAAGAGACTATATAGCCTGTATTGAAGATAGGGTAGTACATAGGTCTTGGTCTCTTCTGAATCCATGACTGGCATGTCTGGCATGGCAGACATTACTAGTCAATCACAGTCCTTATAATGGACGGAACTCAGGCACAGCCAGTTTCACTATCTCAACCCAGACAGTAAAAATACATGTTCAGAGCTGGCACACCATGTGAGGCCTGTTTAGCTTCCTAGCCTAAGAACACGCTGTGAGTGACAGAATCAGGGCAGAGCCCAGCACAGAAAGAAATTAGTATAGTGAGGTAGAAAGGCTCTGGAACAAGATCAAATAGTGTGTGCTGTTGGCAAAATCATTGAAAATAACTGAGAGTGAAACCAAGTGCTGCATTTATAGCTATCATATATAAATGACCAAATAAAGGAAACGTCAAGTATTAAAACAAAAAGAACACTGCTAAATTGGATGTACCAGAGCTTAAGGTAGGTCCTTAACATTCTTGGATTTAATATTTGTACTTTTGACTCCCCCCCCCAAAAAAAACCCTCAAAACTATGTAAGTTTTGTAACTTGAATCATACATGGAATCATATGGTAACTTGTAGTTTCCTGATGCCTGATTTCCAGTTGTTCATACTACAAGATCATTATCTGGTGCTAGCCACTTAGCTCGTAAAAGAGCTGATCCCACAAACATAGCTTTTGAATGTTTAGCTTTGTTCCTCTCTTATCAAATAAGGAATAAATCTGGTAAAGTGAAAGAGATATTGCTCTATTTTAAGAGAGAGAGAGAGGGAAAGAAATAATAAAAGTGACAGTAAACTTTAATGCTGCCTCACCTGGAATTGTTACTTTAGAGAATATACTACAAGGAAATAAGCAAAAGAAAAATTTAGAAAGTGACACAGAAATGTTCTTGGCTACACTGTCTCCCACGAAAAACAAAACAATGCAAATAAACCAAACAGAAGAAAACTTGTCTACTTATAAAAATTTCTTTTGCAAGAACACCTAGTATTAATATACATACCTTTACATTGGAACCTTTACATAGGAATTCAAATGAAAGAAGCAAACCTAATCTGTCAATACAGAAAAATTTTTTATGCCACTTTAGGATTTGAATTCATAGTTTCATGCTTACTGAGCAGTAAAGTCTTGTACTTAAGCCTTGTCTCCAATCCTTTTTGCTTTAGTTTATCTTTCAGATACTGTTTTGTGTTTTTTCCTGTGGCTGGCCTTTGATAGAGAACTTTATTACACCTAGTTAGCTGGGATTACATAACTAGATTTTTTTTGTTGAGAGAAAGAAAAAGTTACTAAGTTTTTTTCTCTGGGTTATCCTTGCACTACAATCTTCCTGATCTATTCCTTCCAAGTAGCTGGCGTTACAGTGTGTACCACCACACTGGGTCTACAGACTTTAAGGATATATAATGTATATTGAGAACTTAACAGTGATCATAAGACAATTCTGAATGGAAAAATAAATTGTATTTATTTATATTTTTATGGCTCAGTGCTAGGGCCCTTTTATTGTTCAGTGCCAGGCCTTTTGCATGCTCTACCATTTAGTTATAGCCCCAGTCCAATAGATCATGTTTTTTTTTTTTTTTTTAAACATATACTTTTGTTATTTTATTTATTTTTTTTTTGGGGGGGGTGGGAGGTCCGGTCGTGGGGCTGAACTCTGGGCCTGGGCGCTGTCCCTCAGCTCTTCAGCTCAAGGCTAGCGCTCTACCACTTGAGCCACAGTGCCACTTCCGGCTTTTTTCTTTTTGCTTATGTGGTGCTGAGGAATCGAACCCAGGGCCTCAGGCATGCAAGGCAAGCACTCTACCACTGAGCCATCTTCCCAGCCCCAATAGATCATGTTTATAATGGTAGACATGATTTAAGATAATCAATTTTAAAAGTTTTAAAAATTGTCTGCATAAGACACATCATCCTGTAACAGGATAACCTGTAAATATTGTTTAAAAAACAATAGCTAGCCGGGTGCCAGTGGCTTATAGCTAGCCGGGTGCCAGTGGCTCACACCTGTAATCCTAACTACTCAGGAGGCTGAGATCTGAGGATTGAGGTTCAAAGCCAGCCTGGGCAGGAAAGCCCGTGAGACTCTTACCTCCAATAAACCACTAGAAAACCGGAAGTGGTGATGTAGCTCAAGCTGTAGAGTGCTTGCCTTGAGCTGAAGAGCACAGGGACAGTGCCCACGCCCAGAGTTCAAGCCCCGTGACCGACAAAACAATAACAACAACAAAAAACAATAGCTACACTATTCAATTATATATATATAATATATATGTATAAATGTTGTCATTATTTCTAGCAAAAGTTTGGTTTTCTTCCCTTGAGCAAATCAAGGTTGTGGTCTTACTTAAATTGGTTTTTGTATCTTTTAGAGAGATTAAAGTCAGAACTATTATTGTTTTTCACAGTATTTCTGTGGTTTGTGTATAATTGTATTAGCTGGGAACACTTCAATCTTTGTGCTTTAATCACTCTGTCTCCAGAAAAATAATTTAATTTACAACAGGCACAGTGATTAATCTGTTCATTACAGGGATCTGCGTATATTTAAACTGAGGTGTTTTTTTTTTGTTTTGTGCTGGTCCTAGGGCTTGATCTCAGCAACTAGATGTTGTCCCTGAGTTTTTTTTGTTCAATGCTAGCACTTTGCCACGTAAGTCATAGTTCTAATTTCATCTTGTTGGTCATTAACTTGAGGTAAGAGTCTCATAGACTTTCCAGCCTGAGCTGGTTTTCAACTGCAGTCCTCATAAGTAGCTAAGATTACAGGGATGAGACACCAGCTCCTGGCCTATTTTGCTTTTCCAATGAGTTCTTATTGTGTAGTCTAGGCAAGCTTGAGCGTGATTCTTTTGCCTCAGCCTCCTAAATCCTCCTAAATTGAGTGAAACTCATATGTAAATAATGACAAGAAATTGCTAGAGCTGTGATTACACTTAATGGAAGCATATAACTTATACCTATTTAAAATATTTTTGGGGGAACAGTACTGAAGTTGAAACTCAAATCCTTACAGTTGCTTGGCTTGATCAACTGGTGCTCTATAACTTGAGTATTGCCTCCTGCCCTGCTTTTTAATAGTTATTTTAGAGACAGAGTCTCATGGACTTTTCTGGCTATACTAACTTCTAAAGCTTGGTTTTCTGAGTAGCTAGGTTTATAGACATGTCTGGACTATTTAAAATATCTTATGGAGGGGCTGGGAAGGTGGCTCAGTGGTAGAGCGCTTGCCTTGCATGCATGAGGCCCTCATAAGCACCATAAGCCCTCAGCACCACATAAGCAAAAAGAAAAAAAGCCGAAAGTGGTGCTGTGGCTCAAGTGGTAGAGGGCTAGCCTTGAGCTGAAGAGCTGAGGGACAGTGCTCAGGCCCAGAATTCGAAGCCCATGACCAACAAAAAAAAAAAAGAAAAAAATTAAAATATCTTATGGAATTAATATCCTTACACACTTATGTAACCCAGATCTAATAAAGTTATTTTTAGTGTCCAGATTTTGCTTAAGGCTGCCACTGTACTCCTTTTTCCACAGCTCCACTTCCAACTTTTTGGTAGTTAAATGAAGATGAGTCTCAAGGATTTTTTTGCCTAGGCTGGCTTTGAACCTCAATCTTCAGATCTCAGCTTCCTGAATAGCTAGGTTTATAAGCATGAGCTTATAAAACTAGGATGGCTAGGATTGTTTTGTTTCATTTTGTTTTTAAAGCCCACCTACATATAGTTCTTACTGAAGATGTATACAGATACTAAACATGGGGAAAGTGAAAAGGAGCTAATACTTCAGATGTAATCGTAGCACCACTTCTTTAACGCAGAGTTTACTTATCCGTCAACCTTAATATCTGGAATATATGGGAAGTCAGCAAGTAGGACAACTGAACAGTCAAAACAAGCCCCACATGGGGTAGGAATATGGATTAGTGGTAGTGTACTTGCCTAGCATGCATGAAGCCCTGGGCTTGATTCCTTAGTACCACATAAGCAGAAAAAGCCAGAAGTAGTGCTGTGGCTCAAGTGGTAGAGTGCTAGCCTTGAGCACAGAGAGGCTTAGGGACAGAGTCCAGGCCCCAGGCCCAGGAAAAAAAAAAAAAAGCCCCACAAAATTCATGCTTTCCAAGTATACCCATAGGCCCCAGATTCCCACAAAGCTTTACCCAGAATGGATTCATAGACCTTCCAAGCTTGTATATCTCGCTTCCACAGAAAAAGAAATAGACATTTTTAATTCTACTCTGATAGTAATGAAAAAAACTTAAGAATCTATAAACAATAGTAATAACTTAAAAGTTAGAGTTACTGGACAAAAAAACATTTTGGCAATTTATGACAGCATAATAAATTGTTAGAGCTGCTATTTCTGAATCATGACAGGAAAGATTAATTCTGGGATAGGCTGGGAACTAAAAATTACAGAAAGACCTTTAATGGAATGGATAAAGTGCATGAGTGCTTCCAATAATGATAGCAAACATTTATTGGGTTGTTACCATATCCTAGAAATTATTATCAAAGGTCAACTCATATTCATGCTTAGAGTTAGCTTTTTTTATTTTTATTTTTTTGTGCTGGTCCTGGGGCTTGAACTCAGGGCCTGGGCACTGTCCTTGAGTTTCTTTGACTTAAAGCTAGTAACACTCTACAACTTGAACTCTTGCATTACGTCTGACTGTTTCAGATTAGTTTATTGGAGATAAGAGTTTCACGGAGGGACTGGGAAGGTGGCTCAGTGGTAGAGCACTTGCCTTGCATGCCTGAGGCCCTAGGTTCGATTCCTCAGCACCACATAAGCAAAAAGAAAAAAGCCGAAGTGGTGCTGTGGCTCAAGTGGTAGAGTGCTAGCCTTGAGCTGAAGAGCTGAGGGACAGCGCCCAGGCCCAGAGTTCAGGCTCCACAACCGGACCCAAAAAAAAAAAGAGTTTCACGGACTTTCCTGCCTGGGCTAAGCTTGAACTGTAATCCTCAGATTTTAGCATCCTGAATAGCTAGGATTATAGACATAAGCCACCAGCACCCAGCTTAGAGTTAGTTTTAATTAGCTGAAAATTTTAATTCTCTGGAACATTTCAATCCTCAAACATTCTGCAGTGTTACAACACTCTATGTACATGCATATCGTGCCTGTACAGTTTTCCAGTATTCAGCCAAGATTTATACTTACCTACAGGGACAAACGGGGAGTCCTTAGACTTCCTGATCAATCGGGAAAATGGGCCTTCATCCTTACCTGCTGACCACTGGTTATCTGAAGACATTTTTCTCTCTAGTAACAATAGATTAATGTGGTTACTGTAAATCATTCCAGAAACTGTTTACTCTCTCTCCCAATATTCTATTGATTCTGTATACTTCTGTCTTCATTTGTTTGACATTCCTGTCTGAGAAGCTGAAACACTTGTCCTTTCTTCCTATCACACTTTTCACTTCAAAATCCTACCCAGAGAAACTGATCATCAGATACCATCAGTATAGTGTAAAAATTAATGCAGATAGCCAGGCACGGGTGGCTTATGTCTGTAATCCTAGTTACTCAGGAGGCTGAAATCTGAGGATAGCAGTTCAAAGCCAGCCTGGGCAGGAAAGTCTGTGAGTATCTCAATTTAACCACCAAAAAGCTGATAGTTGAGGTGTGGCTCAAATGGTAGAGCCTTGAGTAAAAAAGCTAAGTGACAGCACCCAGGCTCTGAGTTCAAGCCTAGTGCTGGCACACACACACACATACACACACATACACAATGAATACAGGTTATAATTTTATTACTTGATATCCTTTTACTGTACAGCATTCAGAATATTGAGGAACCTTAGCTTCTTCACCCAAACCTCAGAATTTCTTCCCCCAACAGTAAAAATACAGGTTTTCTTTCAGAATGGCAGTGCCAATGTAGGAAGTAAACGCCTTCAGTCTTAGGCAATGGGAGAATGATACTCCAATTCTTCAGGATGTTCAGGACATTATGAAGCCATTCAGATACTTAACAAGAACCTCCTATGAGCCAAGTGCTAGGTCAGAGAATAGAAGATGTCTTCCTTCACTGATTGAATGAAGAGATTTTCAAGAACAACTACAATCACATGTAGTAGCACCTTGGTTTGTTAATGTACAACACATTAGTTTTCACTCTCAAATTCAAACACATTCCTTTCTTCCTAAGAATGAGATTTCAACAGAAAATAGAACCCTGTAAGTGGCAAAGCACAATACCTGCTACGTGCTGGAGGCACAGTACCCTGCCGTCCTGTCTTCTTACGTTCTTTGGGCAGAGGCTGTGGATCAGAGCAGGTATTATAAGGCTGGAACACATTTTCCTGCAATTACCAACTAATTGATAACAGGAAAACCAAGAAACACACCCTCAAGGGAGTGGCAAGCTGATGCTAGCTGAGATTCCCATCACTACTAGACTCTCATTGGTAGTAGCGTGTGGCAAAATAATTTGGGCTCTTGAAGACACTATTTTAAAGACATGAAAGATACCAGGAGCCAGTGGCTCACACCTGTAATCCTAGCTACTCAGGAGGCTAAGACCTGAGGATTTGGGTTCGAAGCCAGCCCAGGCAGGAAAGTCCATGAGACTCTTATCTCCAATTAACCACCAAAATAATATAATAAAGCCAAGGCCGGGCGCTGATGGGTTCATACCTGAAATCCTAGCTACTCAAGAGGTTGAGATCTGAGGATCATGGTTCAAAGCCAACCCGGGTGGGAAAGTCCATGAGACTCTTATCTCCAATAAAACACTAGAAAACTGGAAGTGCTGCTGTGGCTCAGGCGGTAGAGCACTTGCCTTGAGCTGAAGAGTTCAGGGACAGCGCCCAAGCCCAGAATTCAAGCCCCACAACTGACAAAAAAATTATATATATGTATATAAGGCCAGAAATGGAGCTGTGGTTCAAGTGGTAGAGTGCTAGCCTTGAGCAAAAGAGCTCAGGGACAGCCAGCTGGTAGCTCATGCCTTTAAACCTACCTACTCAGGAGGCTGAGATCTGTTGATTGTAGTTCAAAGCCAGTGGGGCAGAAAAGTTTCATGAGGCTCTTTATCTTCAATTAACCACCAGAAAACCAGAAGTAGAGCTGTGGCTCAAAATAGTAGCATGTTAACCTTGAGCAAAAGATCTCAGGGACAGCACCCAGGCCCTGAGTTCAAGCCCCACAACTGACAAAAAAGAAAAGAAAAGAAAAAGTAGCTCAGAGACAGCACTGCATAAATAAACACCAGCATACTGGGGGAGGAAAAGTAGGTTCTTTTAAATGATTTACAGCAACTACAATTTATTGAGAAATATGTTGTCATGTCCTTATGAGAGAAATATGTCTTCAGATAACCGGTTGACAAGAGAGTCAACATGTATCGCTACTGATCAGGAGCTCTAGAGCTTTCCCCTTTGCTCTAGATAAGCACAGACACCTGCGGTGGTGTCCTCGCACCTGTGGCCCCTGCAGATACATGAGCAGGTGAGCAGTAAGCATGAGCATCTGTGGAAAAGGATGTGATGTCTTGTGGCTCCTAGCCAATCACAGGGCAGGGCAGGCAGGTGAGTGAGGGAAGGAGCTAAGAGAGCCCACCTCCTGTGCCTGCTCAGGTGATCCCAGGGCGACGTGGCAGCGTGGGGGCAGCCCGGCGGACCCTTGAAGTCAGAGAAGACCTTTCCTTGCTCACCTCCTCCCTCCACCATGCCATCATGGAGGCTTCAGGCTAAAGGCAGAAGACCAGGTAGTGTGCATCGTTTTAGTTTTTTTTTTTTCTCTTCCTTTAAAGTTTTAAATAATGTGATAGTCACAGAAAGGCTCCCAGAATACTACAAAAAACTGGCATCCAGCTTCTCCTTTACTAACAGTTTTCCTTTCTTTGTGCTGTCCGAGTGTATTGAAGCGTGTTGTGCTTTTACACATCATGTTAGGGCACATTGTGTGCTTTGTATGCATTTGGGGGCATTCTACAAATCCTAGTGCAGTGACCAAAATCAGGAAGCTAATGTTGACATTGTTAACAAATCAGGAAGTTAACATTGTTCTTGCTAGGATCCAACCAGATCATATTTTACATTTAGTTGTCAATTTGTGTAGTCTGCTTTAATCTGAAAACTGTGTGTATGTGTATGTGTTGGTACTAGGGCTTAATTGAACTCAGGGCTTGAACTCCATGCTGTCCCTCAGCTGCTTACAGATACATTTCTGCCTTTTTGGTGGTTGATTGGAGATAAGAATCTCGACTGGGCTGGGAAGTTGGCTCAGTGGCAGAGCGCTTGCCTTGCATGCCTAAGGCCCTGGGTTCGATTCCTCAGCACCACATACGCAAAAAGAAAAAAGCCAGAAGTGCTGTGGCTCAAGTGGTAGAGCACTAGCTTTGAGCTGAAGAGCTGAGGGACAGCGCTCAGGCCCAGAGTTCAGGCCCCACGACCGGATCCAAAAACAAACAAAAAAAAAAAGAATCTCAAGGACTTTTCTGGCTGTGTTGGTTTTGAACCCTTCAGATCTCAGCCTCCTATATAGCTAGGGTTACAGGTGTCAGTCACAGGCATGAGACCAGTGCTTGGTTTTCTAAATCTGAAATACTGTTTTAGTCCTGGTTGTTGTGTTGTCTTTTCTGACTCTGACAATTTGGCGGTGCAAGACCAATCTCCCTCTACTTCTCTCCTCGCAAGCGCTCCATGCTTATGAGACCAGTACTCCACTGCTATACCTCCAGACAGTTATTTCATAGCATATCGCTCCATTTTTATTTCTTTCCTGTTATTTCTCATTAGATTGAGATTGTGTATTCTGGCAGAAAACCATAAAAAATTATGCAGTGTCATTGTTATATAACTCCAGAAGGCACATACAGCCAACTTGTCTGGTGTGTTTGATTTAGTGTTGTGTTCTTAAATAATGAAAAGTGTTAGCACTCCAGAGGGAGGAAAAGGCCCACTCTGTGCATTTTCCAATTTCAGTGCTGTAAATACTCTCACTGAGGTCAATTTCAACGTAATGTCCTTCACCTCTGAATAAAAGTTTGGAAACATTCTTTTTCTCAGCTGGTAGGGGTCAGTTCTTTCAAACAAGTAGTCTTAGTTGTAGAGTATTTTTAGAGGTTGAAAAATTGCTTAAAATAGATTGTGATTATGGCTGTTCAATGCTGTACATATTACTAAAATGGTTTAATTGTATGGTTTAGGTAAGGTTTTTTTTTTTGTTTTTTTTTTTTTGCTGGTCGTGGGCCTTGAACTCTGGGCCTGGGTGATGTCCCTGTGCTCTTCAGCTCAAGGTGAGTGCACTGCCACTTGAGCCACAGCACCACTTCCGGTTTTCTAGTAGCTTATTGGAGATAAGAGTCTCACGGATGTTCTTGCCCGTGCTGGCTTTGAACCGAGAGCCTCAGATCTCAGCTTCCTCAGTAGCTAGGATTACAGGTGTGAGCCACCGGCGCCCGGCTGCTTTAGGTAAATTCTATGGCGTTTGAATTAAATATCAAACTGTTACTTTAAAATAAAAGTCATTTGGGGCTGGAAAGTTGGCTCAGTGGTAGAACGCTTGCCTTGCATGCCTGAGGCGCTGGGTTCGATTCCTCAGCACCACATAAGCAAAAAGAAAAAAAGCCGGAAGTGGCGCTGTGGCTCAAGTGGTAGGGCACTAGCCTTGAGCTGAAGAGCTGAGGGACAGTGTTCAGGCCCAGAGTTCAGGTCCCACAACCGGACCAAAAAAAAAAAAATAATAATAATAAAAAAATAAAAGTCATTTGGTAGCAGGGTTTTCTGGCTCATACCTGTAATTCCAGCTCTTGGGAAGCTGAGGCAGCAATATTTCAAGATTGAGACCAGCTTGGGCTAATTATTATGTAGTAAGAATTTACTGTCTTCTTGTTGGAAAGTTATTTGAAAACTTTTTTTTTAATTGCTGACAAAAAGATGGCTTTGGGCAAATAAATAAATGAAGTTGTATCTGTACAAGTCAATGGGCAGCTCAGTCTTTGTGGTTTAGGAAGTAGTTATAATGTAAAATGAAATATTTACAAATAAGTCTAATTTCAGAGCAGTAAAACAATGCCATGGTTAAAATAAATGAAAGTACTTTAATACTCTCCACACAGGAAAAGAAAAGATCCTGCCTTAAAACCAAAAAAAAAAAAAAAAAAAAAGTCACTTAGGGGATTGGGGTGATAGCTAATTGGCACAGTACTTGCTGGAATTACACGTGTGCCCCACCATACACCTGGCTTAACTTTCATAATTTTAAAGAGATCAGAAGTGGAAGGGTTGGAGGGAAGACTGAACAATATGA